ATAAAAGTGACGCCATCTCCATATACACTCGTGATCCCGAAAGTACCGATGATTTTATTTAAAAAAACACACACAAAACGGAGAGTCTACTAGATAAAGAAGGATCTATAGCTCTTGTTACTTCGACAGTATGACGCCGCAGCTTCCTGATCTCATTACGAGGTCTACAAGGTGCGGAATTTAAATACGCAGAAAAAAAACGATCGATAAATTTAACTACAAACTCCGATTGAAATCTAAATTTACTCACATTTTGAAATTACCAAGCCCATATACTTCAATCACTCTCTACCTACTTCATAAAAAATTCGAAAAAAATAAATAAAAATTAAGAGCTACCGTTACAAATTTCCTGTGAATTCAAACTTGGGTAGAAACAAGAATAACAGATCTACTATGAGTTCAATATTGAAGATCAACAGTTTCCGAAATATCTAAAGTCGGGAAACACTTTAGAAGATGAAAGTTTTCTTATGGAATTTTCGTGGTTTAGGTGCTCTCACTATTTCGAATCAATTCAAGACAGAACAGGAACCCAACAGAACCGTTACGAACATGTACAGTTTTGCCCGATAAATACTTTACCGTCCGCATTTGTGACATTTCCTGTCCTGTCCTGTCATCACTGACAGATTGACATGAATCAAAAGTTAATAAAATTAAATGAATCAGGGCAAATTAGGAGAAAGAAAATCGTATTAACACTTTTTGTAGAGTAAAAAATATTGCATATTTCTAGAGATAAATATTGGTTGAGGTATAAAATGCTTTTGATTGGTTGGGGGGGGGGGCGATATCGAGGGGCCCATAGGCTCAAAATATATAGATCCGGTCCTGGGGCCACCGTTTCTAAGATTTGATTTTTAATATGGTATTCCTTTTCCTGATTAGGTACATTGATGTATTACATCCTATATTTTTTTTGTATAATCATATCATATTTTTCAAAATTTTGAGATGGCATAGTTTTTACAGTTGGCCATTTTTATTGAATGGTATCGGTTGCCTTAGTTACCATGGATACAATAAACAAAACAAAATCTCCATGAATCCATGGCCTACTATTTAAAAACAGTAAAAAATAAGGTTTTTATTAATATTCATGGTCAAATGTGATACATCAATGTGATCGAGAAAAAGAATTATGCACAAAAAATAGAACACACGGTACATTTTTTAGAGAGCGTACTAATGATTTTATGATTATTAAGTGGCAATGCGATGTAAGGTTTATAGAGGAATCGATGGTGTCCGTCTGTCCGTGAACACGATATATCTGTCAAACGCTTGGATCGATTTGGTACAAAATTTGCACAGTTGACCCATATGCTTCAAGTTAATAAACTTATTGAACAATCAACTACTTTTTCAATATTGGAAACAATCGAAATACTTGAAAAAGTGAATGAACACACCTGAATACCATTTATTTTCAATATTGTAAAGACGCTTGAAAAGGATCTTGAATTATTTTCAAGAGCCACAAGAATAACACTGAATAATATTATGTCGAACTTGCCGATTGTTTATAAAGAATTTAGTAGTACAGTGGCTGTATTGGAATATTGTAGTGTTCTACAAATCCAGAAAGACATGGAGGCGCCATAAAAGACTATAGTCACCGATCGGCGAATGTGATGCATTCTTTCCGGGAAATACGATGTGTTTTGTTCGAGAATATTCGTTAATTGCATAAAATTGTCGAGTATAAGAATACAGCAACAATCAATTTTCATTCATGCATAAAATTTCTTTATTTCTCAATGTTTTTAAATTTTTACGAGATGTTTTTAAATGCTATTAAGTATCTTGGAACTGTTTGAAATTATGGATTCTACAGGCCACATTCTACAAGAAAATGTTTTTCGATTGTAGAAAAAATCTTGTGTGTAATTCGAGCGCAAATTGATTGTTGATTTCAAGAGATTAGCGCGGCAAATGTCTCTTTCAATCGACAATATATCATTTTGCGCTCTTAATACACAAATAGCTATTTTTTTAATGAATTTTTAAGTATTTTGAATAAACAGGTCGAGGTACTCTAAGTGTAAAGGTGAAACTTATTCATTGAATTCGGTTTTTAACTAAAAATTGTTGATTATTGAAACCTATTTACAAGTAAAAAGTCAAAGTCATCAAAGGGGAATGCCTCATCATCGCTCAGATCTCCTGTTGCAGTCAAGATATAAAAAAATATTTAGTTAAGATCATTAAAAATAAAACTCTGACAGTCACGTTTATAAAATAAGCATGTCGGTACATATACTCGGCTTCGATTTTTACAGTGCTCTTCACAGTTAGAACACTTTAGGGTGCAGGGAAGGCTGTTTCGCAAGCATGAACACCTTATGGTCTCACAAGTTCCCTTGCAGTCGCATTTCCCTAGGATTGTGAGCTCCTTTCATATTTACACCTATTTGGTCCAGTTTGGTTCCCAGCCCACTTTGCCTCGTGTCCATCTCCACGTTGACGGATGTGGAGGGCATTCAGTAGGATAGAAGCAGTGCCCCCACAACACATGACCTGCTTGATTGGGGACAGGAACTGCAGTAATTTATGTTGGTACAAAATAAATATTTTCCCACATTAGTAGTGGATTTCTCCGGAGCTTCGGGGTCATAGAGAACGGTAGTAAATTCTTCCAAAGTTTTAATTGTTTTTTTTCTGTTATTCCTCTTTGTGAATTGGAGAGTTCAAGTAAAGCTGGTGTCACGTCCGGGCGTTTCATCCAAGTCATAAACGCCTTCTTGTTTCCAATAGAATTGAAGCAGGGCGTTGTGGCACAACCTGTGTAACAATGAAAGCCCCGTAGGAATTGTGAATTTTCTTCTCCAAGTGCTAATACAATCAAATGGGTCGCTATATATCGACGCTTGGCCCCAACACCTTACAGATATCCTTCTTTCAGTCCGAGTTCTTTCAGAAAAAAAAACAAAATATATATGACCATCAGAACGTCAGTATCTCAAGACTGGACGAGGACGTTCTGGGCTTCATGCTCCACCATATCTTTCGCATGGAGGATGATTCGCCCCTCCGGCTCTTCTTGAGTAACTTGTATCCCATCAAAAGGGAAAGCGTTCTCAATCGTAGGAAAATGCGGCTGCAAGTCAACTTGTGAGACCATGAGGTGCTCATGCCTACGAAACAGCCTTCCCTGCACCCTACAGAGTTCTAACTGCCAGAACACTGCAAAAATCGCAGCCGAGTACATGCTTATTATAAACATGACTGTCAGCGTTTTATTTTTAATGATTTTAACTAAATATTTTTTATAGCTCGACTGCAACAGGAGATCTGAGCGATGATGAGGCATTCCCCTTTGATGACTTTGACTTTTTACTTGTAAATAGGTTTCAATATTTAGTTAAAAACAGGATTCAATGAATAAGTTTCAGTTTTGCACTTAGTTAACCTCGATCTGTTTATTCAAAATACATAAAAATTCATAAAAAAAAGGCCTTTAATGGGTCTTTTTTGGTAATCTTCACCCAAAAGAATCTCAGAAACGCCACCTCAACTACGAAAATCGGTCAAAACCTTTGAATCTTGTCGGACGTTAAAGATATCATACAATTGGCCTATATATGATAAATGAAACATGCTTCCCACACAGAAATTATCTTTGGATATTATTTTTGTCATATTCACCGTCGGAAACCTCGTAAACGTCACCCCAAACGTAAAAATCGCTCTTAAAACATATATTTCCTGAAATTTTAAAAATTGGCGCCATTTTCAATCCTAAGGGACGGAACTTCCAGCTCTGCGACTCAAATCACTCCAATAGGTCTAGGGAACATGTATTCCAAGTGGCACAATTTTAATACGAAATGCCGAATAATGCCAATATTTATCACGAGCCGCTGCCACTATTAATTTTGGGGCGTAGAATTCAAAACAATTCGTACTTTTTCGATTAGACTTCTCAATCAAAAGTTATAGACTAGAAACCAATTTCGAAAGAAAATTCAAAGGGCTGTAAATTTTGATCCAGTAGCCCAATCTTGGAACTGTTTGAAATTATGGATTCTACAGGCTACATTCTATAAGAAAATGTTTTTCCCGGTCGATCTGAGACAGTTTTTCACCAAATCGTATAGTATCCAAAACTTCTCGTATTTTGTCGTACTTTTTTTGTACCCAATTTTAAAAATGTTTGCAGTTTTGGATTCTACAGTATATAATCTATACGAAATAGTTTCAAAATTAATTGCAAAGAAAAAATCCTCTTATTATTTCTAATCCTGTTAGTCAATGTGTATTGTAAAATCAATGGTTCAGGATTGCAGTTTTTTTTATAAATTGCCTATATTAATGCAACTATTGCTTCGCGCCATCTTTATTTTATCATTTAAGTACATGGATAATTAGATCGAAATGAAAACAATTGAACGAGAATTGAAAAAGAAAGTAGGTATTTTGGATATGGTGCATTAAGAACTTGCGTAGAGAATATAATTAGCTGTCACATGGTGTAATAATATACAGGGTGTTTCATATAAAGAATCATATGTTTAATGTTTTAACAGTCTTTCGAACTCTGAATCTAAGAAAGTTAGTGACGGCTTAATTAAAAACAGACTCATCGATTAAAAAACGGAATTATGCTGAGCAAAGGTTGGCTCAGCCAACCCTTGGCTGTGCTCAGAATTATGCCCAATCTTAAAATGCCAAAAAGAAAGCGCGAATATATTGCTAAATTTCGCTGGGATTCCATTCCATCACAGACGGGCGAAGAAAGTGCGACCTCGTTTCATTGTCACATAGGTCGTCGGATAGCATAGGCGCCTACTTAAAATTCAATTACGCAGATATAAAATACTTGAATAAATTCCTCTGTATGTGCTTATTTATCGATTAGTCAATTTGTTAATGAATAAATTTGAAATACTTGACAAAAAAAAGCAAACATATTTCACAACGTTAGTTAATATCCGATGAACGGAAATGCGACGACGTAGACTTTACGGCGGGGGGAAACCGTCTGGGTCAGCCCCTGCCTAGTGCGATTCCACGATGAATGACGTCCACTCTCGATATAAAAGTACATTTCCACAAGGCTGTCTTTAAATCTGTTTCTATATTGTTAATAAAGGGATGGCAACACGAATATGGAGTTCGTCTATTTCCACGATTTTCTTCGACTTGGATAATACGTTAATTCCAACGAGAAAAGCGGATAAATTAGCCTGCAATAAGGTAAGATTTTTTATTTTATTTAAAATTTCCATTGTCTGAATAAAATACGTTCCTGGCCGCTCAGCTGTTTTTGACAGTCAAAATCGATCGAATACGGGCCTGAACGTGGCATCAGCTGTTAAGCATGCACACGTTTCTGCAGGATTTACTGTCCGTAGTCGATGACTTCTTAGTTTAAAAATAAATGCGTGAAATGGAAACCTCACAATTACCGAATTTAGAATGCGGCGTGAGTGCCTAAATATAATTTTCCACACGCGTCGAACTTCTTAGTTCTTTAAAGTGCGCGCGTTATGGGTGAAGTGTCCGAAGCGGTAAAAAAAGTCGTCGCGCTTTTAAAAAACGCGTCGACGGATACGGAGAAATTTACCGGTCTTTTTTTGGTTACTAAATTAGTTAAGGCGAAAGATTGTAAGGCGAACGCCAAAAAGCTGATCTTCGAGGCAATCGGGTTTGATTTTCTGAAACGGCTGCTCCTTACGTCCGATGTACCCGTCGACTGTCCACCTTCGATATATAAATCTGTCGCTCTGTCCGTCCTGACATGCTTTTGCAACGAGCCGGAGCTGGCGACTCATTCGGAAATGCTCGCAAACATACCAGTGTTTCTGGATATCGTTCAGCAAAGCGATACAAGCGATTACGACGATAACTTAATTATAATCAGAGAGGCTTACGGTTGTCTTAAGGCGATCGTCGCGTATGACCCCGGCCAGCAGGCCCTCTACAAGATGGGCGCGGTGAATAAAATGTTGGAGATCTACGCCCAGCAGAGCTTCCAAACTGACGAGGCGCTCGGTATTTTGGTCACGTTGGTCGGTCGTTTCGGGGCGAGCTCGTGGGGCGACAACACCGGGGCTTTTCATCAGATCGTCAACAAAATCGCTTTGGAGTTCGAGACCGATCACGACGAACGCAAATTCGAGCTCTGCCAAATTTTGCAGTCGCTCTTGTTTAACGCCCCGAAGAATGCGGTAACGAAAACGACGCCGCAGGAGGAGACGTGGCCTCAGAGCGTCTACAAGGGGCTCACCGACATTTTGCAGAGTAAAATCGGGAAGGATCAGCGTAACCCCGCGTTAATCTTGGCGTCGACTGTACTCAGCTTGTTGGGTGCCGAGTGGGCGACCTCTGATGAGGACAAGCCGAAGCAGTTCTTCCTTTTGCTGATTCAGCTGGCGGCAATCGAGGTGCGGATGCAGCTCGACGGTAAAAGCTTAAAGCAGGCGCACTCGCAGGATATTTTGGTGACCAGTTGCTACATAATCCTGGAGGTTTCGCTGAATTACATCGCGACCGACGTCCTCGACTTGGAACAAAAGGAGAAGCAGACACTTTACACCGGGCTCAAGGGCGCCTTCTCCGCGGTTATCGGCCTTTTAACGAAGATCTCCAACGATAAGGGTCGCGATAGCTTGGCAAGCGACGAGAAAATTTTCGTCTGTGCCTCCGTACGCGTACTGGTAGCGTGGCTCGCCCAGGAGACGACGGCCATGCGGTCTCAGGTCTACCAGCTGCTCCCGTACATGCTCAGTCTGGCGAACGAGACTTTCAACCTGAGCCGTGCACGGAGAATCGCCGAAAAAACCGGAACCGTAATGGACGCCCCCCCGAATCCGCTAAGCCAAATGGATATCCTACGGATAATGCTTCCGGCTCTCTGCCATCTGACGGTGGAGGACGAGGCCAGGAAGATCATGCTGAAAATCAAGCAGGAAGACGTACTATTCGACTGCTTCGAGTTTTACTGGGGCATCGTGCAGAGAAAAAAGCCGAAGGTGCCCAGATCCGAGCGGTTGAAGTTGCTCAATCAACCACCGGAGGAGCTTTCCCCCGAAATCCTCGAAGAAATGCAAGACGCTCGCACGGCGATGATCAGCATCTGCAATATTTTCATGAACATTACAGTTCTCGAGGCGAAACTCGTCGAAGACAGCGAGACCTTCAACAAACTGCTGCAATTCATCTTCGAGAACTTGTCCGAGTTGAAGAGCATCCCCGAGAACCTAGTCCTGCACGGGCATCTCGCCGTCCTCGGCCTACTACTGTTAAAGCAACAATCGAAGCGCATTAAAAAAAACGACTTCTCCATCTGCCGGTACATACAAGTCACCATACGCTTCCTTTGGGACGCCTACACCATCGACGAATCGAGCGACCCGAACGCCTTGGTCGTCGCGATCTCCTACAAGGAGCACTGGATGGAGATCATGGAGCTGTGGTTTTTGGGCATGCAAACGATGTCGAGCGTGCTCGCCGTGGTTCCTTGGATATCCGAATTCGCAATCGAAAGCGGCTGGGCAGAGGACATAATTAAGAAATTGAAAAAGGTCAAAATCGGCACACTACAGCCGAACATCAAATCCGCATACGAGGACTTCCTGTGCCACCTCGTCGACGCCGACGCGAACGTTGTGGACGTCTTGAAAAAGGCGGACGCGCTCAAAGTGTGCAGAAACCACCGATTTATGGAACTGGGGAAGAAACTGTTCGGGGATTAATTAAAAATCTGTGATAATTTGCGTTTCTCTAAATGGCAGATTATATTTTAATGAGGACCGCTTTTTTAATTGCTTTAGATTACTAATGAGTAGTCTGAGTATTTTTGATAACGCATTTTGTGTGTACCTAATGAACTTTTGTACTTGTAACATATGCCAAAGTGGAAACTATTAAATAAAACTTCAACTGAACTCCCGTTTATTTCTGTAGTACTTATTTATAAACCTCTCGATTTAGAACGTGACATTTGTGAAGGTTTCCTTTAAAGTTTAAACAAAGTAATATGATTTATATTGCCTTTTTATTGTCAGTTTTAGTTGCTACTCAATTTTTGTTACCAATTACATGCTGGAGAATTAGATGCGCTTCAAAAATTATATAATCACTGTCTTTTCAGTCACATGGCCAAGGGGGGCCCTAGGTTGGAATTTTTAGGTAGTTTTTGGTATATCAAAGTATTTTTTTGCATTTGCAGGGCATTTAAGATACTTCGAAGTAATTTTTAACATTTATAGGCAGTAATAATAATAATTTATTGTCTGTGATTTATTTATTTTTATTTATATATTAACCCTCTCTTATTCTGGGCCCTCAACAGGCTTGCGCCCAATTACAGAGTGACCCGCATAATGCTTTTTAGAGGTGCCGCTGCAGAAGGTCTTAAGTTGTTCTATACTACCTCGGTATTTACCTTACGAATTAGGAAAACCTAATTCGGAGTAGCCGGCAGAATGCTCGAAACTGGTCTAAGGTAATTCCTATCTCTGCCACAGATGAAAAATTTACCTCAACTCAGGTTCGAACACCCGACCTCCGGATTTATAGTCCAACGCTCTACCACTGAACAATAAAGCCGAATCAACAAAAACATTGACATAGACATTATTGTCCCGTTGTACCTTAATAAATTAAAAAAATATAGCAAACGAGCTCCTGGGTATGGCTATAGCATGTGCAAAACCAAATTTTAAACCAAATGTTAGTTTTGCTTTTTGGGCGCGCAATAGAAATTTTAAATTGCCGCCATGTTTGTTGTCGGACGTCATCGTACCTACGCGCGTAAATACAGCAATAGAAAATATAACCAGATCTAGTAGAAACACGCCGCGGTTACAACGAATAAACGTAAAATTGTGAGATTAAAGTTAGAAGAAGAAACATTCAGTTATTCAAATTATCATTAATTCATTATCCATCTCGGCTAATTACCATAAAATTATCCCTATTCCTATTCCATTCCCTTCTGAATATAAGTAACGGTATAATCTTTGGTAAGTTAAAGTGTATATGTATCAAATTTCATTTAAATCCCTCCACAAATAAGAAAGTTGGCACTGCGCATGCGCAAAACCAAATTTTGAAACTGGCGTTAAATTTGCTTTTATTCCAAGTGGCTATGTATCAAATTTTATTTAAATACCTTCATAAATAAGAAAGTTTGCAGTTTGGTCTGTAAATGGTCCAGATGCGCAAAGGGCACTGTGAATGCTAATCGATTAGGCTCAACTTTTGGAATTGCGTTTTATATGGCTAAAGCCATGCGCATATTGAATTTCATGCAATTCGGTTCATAACTAACGGAGATGTCAAAAGGGCCTACTTTATTTTTTGGGCTACATTGCCAATTCACGAACTCCGATCTACAAATTTGATAAAGAATCCACCTGCAAAATTTCATCGTAATCGGTCCATTCGTTTATGAGTTATCGTGCTAACGGACAGACGGACGGACAGACATCACAAAATTATAAACTCGCTAGGAGCTCGCTAATAAATATAGTCAGTTAGGGGATGTTTATATGTTTGGGGCGCAATTATAACTGCTGTACGTATGCTTCATTAGAAATGCCGCTTCTATTGTGAATTGCGTCCGAGTGAGGATTTGGAATTTCAACAGGGGGACCTCCTAAAAAGCTGCGATTTTTTTAGTTGATAGGTTTCAACACAGGGTGAGCGAGAAGAATAAAAAAGATGGCATAAGTTTCCACGGAGGTTTCCATTCTGCGCAATCTCACCCCAACTATACAGAGGGTCATTCTTGACGAGCGTCATATGAAGAACCTTTGAAAAACTAAAGCCGGCTCCACACATTCGAATATATGGCAAATACACGAATATTTGTATATTTGCTAAAATATTTGTCTTAATCACAAAGTCACCATCCTCATATTTGCCATTTGTGCCATCAGACACGTCTCGCCTGTTTGAAATATTTGGTGCCTTTGATTTGTGTTCATTTACCGACTTCGAACGGGAAATATTTATATTTGCCGAATATGTCTCTTTGTGCGAATATTTGTCTTCAAGCACCCCATCCACACATTCGGATATTTGCCACATTTGTCACAAATAGTCGAATGTGTGGAGCCGGCTTAAGTCCTTTAGGGGTTTTGGCACATGATGAATTGAACTAAAATATTTTCAAGATGACACCACTTCCGCAAATACGAGAAGTAGCCATCAACTTTGCCCCCTATTTTTCTACATTTTCGGATTCTACGTCGAATTTGGAGTACAACGATACCTCATAATTCACCCTTTGCTTTGTCGATATTCAAGTTTTTATGTCAAAAATTGAATTTGCAGGGGTAATTCTAAAAATTTATTATTTATTTGAAACATGCCGTTATTCCTGTAATTCTTGTAATAATTTGCGAATTGTAGCCTCTGTGGGTCGCGCCTTGTCAGGGTATCTTTCGGAAAAAAGAGGGCAAGTCCTGACCGTTATTCGATTACATTCACCGTGTTTAATATTAATCCAATTTCGACGTAGAATCCGAAAATGTAGAAAAAATAGGAGCTCCCTTCCCTATTTAAAATAACAAAGTTGATGGCTACTTCCGGTATTTGCGGAAGTGGCGCCATCTTGAAAATATTTTAGTTCAATTCATCATATGTACCAAAACCCTTAAAGGACTTATCAGTTCAGCTTCATTTTCAAAGGTTCTCCACATCTTTCTAACCGACGCTCGCCAAGAATTACCCGGTACACTTATGCAGGGCCGTAGCCAGGGGGGGGGGGAAATAGCGGGTCAGCCCGCTCTTGGAACTCACGCTATTAAAAATTGCTTAATATGACGCAATATAGCATGCTCATAAATCATTATATATAAAGAAGGTGCATTCGGAATTATGTCAAATATTAAAACTGGACTACGTTCACGATTGTGTATAAATTATTTTCTCTGTACAGGGTGACCAAATTTGGTTGGTTGTATGGGGTAACGCAAAAACGATAAGTAATAAAAAAAAAACTGACATTGCAGTCTCGATGTATTTTCTGAGATAAACTCGATGTTGAAAACCAAACTAGCCTACAGTTTTTTGTTTTTGCGAGTTATAGGCAAACGGTGCATTTTTCCATTTTTAAATATATAAAAGCCTATAATTTCTTTGTTGATTAAGTTATCGGAGATGTGTTTATTACAAATGATTGTTTGATAATCTACTGTTTTCAAAATCAGTATACGGGGTCAATTAAAAAATGTTAAATGAAACACCCTATATATTTTAATCCAAACAGCCAGCATATTAAATTCTCTTTTCAAAACTAGTACACCAAGGATTCCTCTTATTCAGAGAATACAAGCAATGTACACAAATGTTACGAAGTCCGGTAAGGTAGTGGAATTTGCGTGGATACCCAGTCATGTAGGAATACAAGGAAATGAACTGGTTGATGCGGCAGCAAAACGTCCAACAAGAGGAACCCTAGTAGACGTCCAGGACCTAAGACCCATGGATCTTAATGCAGCCCTGAGGCTGGCCGTGGGAAGGACAGCAAAATGGATTCCGCCACTTAAGCTAACACGAACTGAACGCGTGAAAATACAAAGGCTGCGGATAGGACAAACTGGACTCACCCGTGCTTATATACTTCGCGGAGAACCTCCTCCCATGTGTCAATGTGGTCGTCCATATCGTATGTACGTGTTCAAATTTTGTCCAAACAAGAACAGCGTTGCAAATATCACCAGACCTACAGCAGAACTTGAAGTTTTGAACTTTTCTGACTTTTCTGAAAGGAAATAACTTATTCAACATGATTTAACTAACATATTATACATACCTAGAGTAGTGATGATTGGTGATGGCGGTATAAGTAAAAAAAAGACCAATGACCAAGATGTCGACGCCTTGGAGGAAAAAAAAAGATATTAAAAAAATAAGATTCAAGTGATTCAAAAATTGAAAAGATTCAAAAAGATTAAAACAATTTTTTTAAAGATTAAAAGAGGTTCAAATATTTTCTTTAAAAACTTCTTTTTTTAATTGAATCCTTTTAAGAGAATTTCGTTTTCAACATCGAGTTTACCTCAGTGTTTTCAAAACGTTATATCCCCAAAAAGAAGCTTTAAAAAAACGTACGAGCTATATGCAACAGTTGCAGTGTTTGGTTGTTGACTGCTCTAAATTAAATGATCTTCATTTTCTACAATGATGCGAATCAAGAATTTACAAAGGTTTTCGATGTCTCATAAATGGCTGATTTGATTTTTTTAGCTTTGGAATTTCTTCAAAAAGAACAAAAGAACGTCAACTACTTTAAGTGGCGATATTAATCAAGAAAGTGTTTAGGATAATTTTTGTAACACATTTGCGTTTTGGATCCCTATGAACCAGATCTCAATGATCAATCACGTGTTCTTAGGCAAAAGGATGAACAACTGAGAAGCTTTTGAAAATGTGCTTATTTTTTTATTTATTAAATTCAATTAAACGTTAGCTATCAAATTATGCGAAGTGTATTTTCCAAGAAAAACGAATTTCTTCAGCGGGTGGTATTTGCGCGGACACAGGAAATGATTTCGCTCGCCCGCTCTGTAGATTTATTGGTCCGCTCTTAATAATTAAACTGACTACGACCCTGTACTTATTTCAATACAATTTTAAACCACATATTGGATTTGCGCATGTGTAGAACTACAAAAAAAACTATGAAATTTTGATGCTGTCCTCGGTCGTTATGTAAAAGTAATTAGGTACATGTCTACGAATACCAATAAAAATGTGGAGCTGACTCACTTATTGCTAGTAGAGCCAAAACTATAACTACGAATATCTCAAGACTGAGTAGAAAATACCAGATGCAATCTGTTGATGGAATCGAAACGTGCAAAATATGTTTCGAAGTATTTCTGTAAAATACTGTAACGCAAATTTAATTACGTGACTTATTTATTTACATTAAACTAACAATAAGTCTTGAAATGGATTAATTTATAACAGATAAAATATTATTTATCACTCACATATACACAATTTATAACAGCGCGAACTATTTATTACCTACTTCGGTTTTGAAACGCAATTCAATTTGCTTATATATCAAACACGAGTGGCTCATTGCTGAGAACTATTTTTTAAGGGTTCGGGTTCTGGTTCTGTGACTTTTAATAATGTTCCGTTTCAGTTTTTTTTTCGGTTTTTACGTGTTCCAACATACGCAAATAAAAAATGTATTAATTTTGTAGATATGTACTTCTTTGTTAGGTTTATATGGAACTCCCTTTTTTCTTTTTCTTCACCACTAGTTTCAACTATTGCTTTCTTCACACATTCTTCAACCCTTTTACTGTTTTTGAATCGATTTATCCTTATTTTTCACCAATACGGTTAAACCAATAATAAATTTGGAAAAAACATGACGACCGTCGTGCTCATGAGCCATATTGTATTTATGATAAGCCCTTAATTATACAGGATCGTGGACCTAGGACAGAATAGTAAAAAAATCGATCGTTAGAAATACTCGAGCGCGTCAAATTAAAATAAGGTAGGTTAACTACGTGTTGAAAAGTGCGCATTTCAACAATCTGGCCATTTGAGCGTGACGTACGGGAGAGGGGAGGTCACAAACTTGCCAAAAAAAAACGTTACCTTGACATATTCTTGAGCGCGTTGGAATCCTTTTTAATTTTGAAGGTCAAGAATAACAGATGAAATATAGTCTGCCGATTTCCACACGCCACAACGCTCTGGCTTGTTTCTGTTTTTACGATTATAATAGTAATAAATTAGTAATTGTGTATTATAAATCAAATTTTGTTTAATATCTACTACGAGGATGAATGATAATACTATACAGTACTGTTGAACCAATTTTTAAATTCAAGTTTGAAACAAACAAGTTGTAAATCAGCATATGCATGATGAAAGCGCATTTTTGATAATGCAGATCAGTATTTCATTAGCAAAGTTTAAAATTATCGATCTCACGAATAAATCTCAAAATAGAGTAGAGCCTGCACATCTACACTATAGCAGAAAGCTTTTAGTGGAAATTTGAAGTCTCTAGCTATTATTGTAATTGCTGAGATCTCAGTCGGACAGCCAGCCAGCCAGCCATAACGAATATAATAGCGGATTTTTTCCAAAAATGCGCTAAAAAATGCCTCGCCTAAAAAGTTTTTTCAAATCGTCAGATTACGAGAATCCCTCTGAATTATCGTTAGATTATGGGTCAGCCCGACTAGAACTAGGGCTGTATAATAAGCTGGCGCACTCGAGTATTTCAAAATGGCGATTTTTTGCATTTTCAAAAAGCCACCCTGAGCTTGCGTCATGTTCAAATCGTCAGTCGTTTGAATGGGGGTTTCACTTAACATTCTCTGACGCTCTTGAATAAATCCCTGTTTCTACCCCCGGCAGATTAACATACCTCCAATATCAAAGACACGTGGGGTGTATGTATACAGTATCAATAAATCATTAAAATCAAAACGTAGGATTTTGCGCCCCCCTTTCCAGAAGTATGGGCGTTCTCTTCTAAATAAGCCTGATCCTAAGGAGGGCTTTAGTTTTCGAACAATAAAAATTAAGTTTTCTATTAGACTAAGCCTAGTTGTCGATTGCACTAAGGCTCAGTGAATTATCTACAAAGGGTTTCCATAATTTGTGATACGATGATCTCTTTGTATGCTTTTGTGCTAGTATAACGTAAACAAATTTTAGATAATAACAATTGACAAAGTCATATACCAAAATCTTACAGTACAGAGTACGAAATTATAATGGCACTTATTATTGAAAGCTTCGACTACATTGCAGATATTTTTGTTTCAGATATCAGAAATCCTACGAGACAGATACTCTCTGACGTCAACCGCAACCTCTCAAATTTGCAACACTTTCTTAAAATCCTTCAGGAAATGTCCGGAGAACGTAAATATGGGCTTAGACGAATGGAGACACTTGTTGTGGGTTCAGTCATTGGGCGATGACTATTGTCACCTTGCCGGTAGGTACTCAAATTCCACCCCTTAAAGCAATTACTAAGTGTAGCGTTGTGCCACCTTTTACCTTATAATTTGCCAAAGTTTTACTATCGTTCATTTGCTTTCCTTGATAGATGAGCCTCTGTTGAGCCGGAGGTATACCTTCCAGCTGCTCAATTTTTTCTTTCACTCTTTCAATGTTATCGGACGATTGTACGTCAATTTCCAGTTCGTTGCCACTTATTGTTATAATTTTTAATAGCATTTGTAGTCGACAGTGGTATTTTTAAGCACGAAAGATTTTGACAGTTCATATCATTGTTTATAATTAACCTGCCAAATTGTATTGTATGCAAAGTCCATTATTGCACTCATATTTTACACCTATTTGACCGATTGTACTAATCACTTAATTGCGCACATTTCGCTTATCAAGGACTTTGTTACCCTGCACGTAATTTAAAGCAATTTTTCTATTAGCAGATTGTTGGCAAGGCATCATTTTATCTCACGGTAACTGTACTTAACAGTTGCTTAATTTAAAAAATAATATCGCCCGTGTATCATATCACTGACGTAGATAATAGCACGATAAATCATTTCGTGATGGTGATTCAGTTCCTCAATGCTTGATAACTTTATAAAAACTATCAACATGTCTGTCTGTACACAATGCCATAGTACTGGTAGCTCATTAGTCCTGTACATCTCAAGATAGGGGACTACCACTCAGAACTGCATCTCATGTTCTGTTTGAGGAAGGAGGCACTTTGGACAGAAAATCAAGCAGAAAAGTTGAGGAGATGATAAAAACGGAAAGGTATTTAAATACTTTTCGCTTAAGCCATCTATCGATTATAATATTTTTAGGATATACGCCTGAAAATTACGCCCGCCTGTTCGCGAAGAGTAACCAGTCACTTTATGGGGGACCTTTTCATATAATTTTTGTTGCTGAACTGGTATGCCTGATTATGATCAGATATAAATCAAGTACTTACCAGAGAGAATTTTTTTCTTTAGTCATTTAAATTTAAACTATCGCATGTAATTTCGATCGCATTTTTAAAATGTGCTTTCTATTACAGATACAGTATACCGTAAATGGTTACAGCTGCGCTTCGCCTACCTGGCGATAACGCCAGAGATCAAAATATTACTTAACAAACTACACCAGACGTACTTACTCGGACTAATAACGAACGGTACATCGAACGCGCAATGGGAAAAAATTAACAGGCTGCAGTTACGCGAATATTTCGACGTGATATTAGTATCGGGAGACCTTCCCTGTGAGAAACCCGATAAAATGATATTTAAGGAGGCGTGTAACTTGCTCGGTGTGAAACCGCTGCAGTGTCTAATGGTAGGAGACAAGTTAGAAACCGATATCCTAGGTGGCATGCAGGCGAAATTAGGCGGTACCATTTGGATACCTTTGAACGGCGCTAGCTTCGAGTTTAGCCAATGTCGCCCGGATTATATCATCCAAAGCGTTCACGAATTGATTAGTTTGCTACCGAAAAATGTCGCTGTACCCGTTTTTCGACGCAACATCGATTTGGATGATTCTAACAGCAACAGTAGCGACGGGAGCTGATTCTTATTCATTTTAATTTTTAATTTATAAATGAATGTTGCTCGACACGTAGTGGGTGTAGTAGGTAGTAGTATTTAGATAGCTCAGAACAAATTTTCTTTCGTAACAAATGGTGCTAGGATGGCATGTGATATGATCTTAACAGTTACCGAAGTGAATGATCTACAGTCTTATGAATTTGAGACTGATAATGTAAGCTAAATGTTTGCAGAATGTCGTCACAATTATTTGTGATACACTACACTACTGTATTAGAATGCAAAAATATTACTTTTAGCCATTGTTTACTAACTTTTTACGCAAGTAGAATATAACTAATTTATTTTAATTTAAGAAAACATAATTACACACCTAAAACACAAAAAAAAACGTAACAGAAGACATCTGATGGAGATCAAGTGCAAATATTTTTCTTTTTGGTGTTGGGAAACTCTTCACTCTTCTCAGAAATAACATATTTTTTATTTCTTCGAATTATTTTTACATCTACATATTAAACAAATAGAGATAGTACAACTAAACAAAACGTTTGAATACCATTTAGTTTTAAGCGAGAGTGTGCTCATCTGTACAGTATATTTAGAAATATTAAAGCGCTCATTATTAAACAGTGTGACAAAATTTATCTCATGTAACGGCAGAAGTATTGTCATAATTTCTTCCATAAGTTATTTATTACACCGATAATCTAAAAGTATTCTATTTATTAACTGTAGGTACCTAAACAAATTAAAAGACGCTTATTTTGTATATTACTAGACGTAATGGATTTTTTGTTTTGAAGCGGTTGCGTATTCTTGTTCCAAATATTTATTTTTATATTCGTAGTGATCGATTATATTTTTGTAAATAGCGTAAAGTAAGTTTTTAGTTGTTATACATTTTGTTTTGGGTTCCTGACAAAAACTTTTTTAATAAAATTAATTTCCACCTGTAAATGGTTTTTTATTGCAAAGTCCTTTAATCCCCAATGGTCAATGAGGTACGTTAAAATTGGAAGTGGTCATACTACACCCGACTCGATTTTATAAAAGCGCTGTAGTGATCTCAAAGATTCAATATATACGTGTAGCACAATTACCGAAACCAGACTGAAGTAACCAACTTCAATTTTTTAAATTCAAATTTGACGCCTTACTCAGTTTCTGATAGTACCGACAATTTTTCATACTTTAAAGTTGGATATCAAGCTTACGTATTGTGTAGGCAGGGTAATGCGATTAAGTTCAAAAAGCGGTATTTCCTATTCAGACTTGTAACAGCCATTAGGCCAATTATTACCAGATTTTTTATAATTATATTAATTGAAGTGAAAAGGCTGGTGTTAGGTAAGTGGTTAGCTATTAAATTGTCCCTTGTATTTATTGCTGGTTAGTTAGGTTTTTTTGGGAATTACGAATCTAATTATTGTGGATTGGAATAAAAACATTTTGGAGTCTTTAATCGTCGTTACAAACCCATACCCGTACATACGTTTCCAAAAGACTTTTTCCTACTACTATACTCTAGGGACTCTTAGGTATACTTGGAAGTTGGGCTGCGCGACAATCGAAATTCACTGTCGATAATCAATAATAAAAAGTTATCGATGATGCCTATATCGATATCGGTTCTTGATATGATGGATTATCGATACTGTTAATTATCTATATTGTCCATTATCGATAATTTTTCATATGAAAAGGGCCACCTGGGACACAAAGGGTGCATTCTTGTAAAAGGAGAGATAATTATTAATATTTATCGATAATTATAGATATGATTATTTTTCGCAGCCCTGCTTGGAAGCTCCTTAAAACCTTCTTGAGTAACTTGAAGGATTCTTTATAACGGGCGATCAAGAATGAGTGACTGTCGAGTCGCCTTTGAAAGTTCAAGTTAAGTAGGATTTCCCATGTAAACAAAAATTCCAAAAGTGACTAGACGGTCACTCATTTTTGATCGCTATGTACTATCAAAGACAAGTAGCAGTTTTTGAACAGCCATAAGGCTATTTATTATACGCTCATGTATTTAATGGCCCTTAGAAAGTTCTTGGTTGGAGGCTCTTAATCTTTGTGGTGCTAAAACGTGAACATAAACGACTTCAATATTTTGAAATCTGTAGAAGGGGGTTGCGGGGTCATTTTGGGGCCTTAAGAGACAAAAAGTCAAAAAACCTAACATTACATCCTCCCCAAAGTCCTAACTTTCTCATGTTTTTTAGATATCACTTACGACAGAGGACGAATGGGAGCACGTAGTGCAGAAATTTAGGCCACCTACACTGTGTCCATTTTTTGAGTGCCACTGTGGGGATCTCACTTATCTTAAGAGATAGAACGTTGATTAAATGGGGGCAAAGTTGCAAATTTCCATGCTGAATAAGAATCTGAAAAGAAATTTGAAATATATTGAAGATATCACAAAAAACGAACATTTCTGATTTTCGTTTTTAATTTTTTTATGATAAACTAATCGTAGTAGACATTTCTAATGAACACATTATTCGGACACTTTTTAATGGAGATTTCAAATATGGCATCCTGTTTTTAATTACTTTCAAGATGACGGAGAAACACGTGGAAACTTTAGTTTTTCTTATGGGCGCATTTTGAATTTTCACATTTTGGGATTACGTCTTTTTTTCTATTTACAACGATATATCACACATGGTGGTTCAGTATTACATTTTTCTTAAAAACACAATTTTTAATTTTTTGAGAAGAGTGCTTTGGAAAAACAAAACGTTCTTTTGTTGTGAACAAAAGGTTGACTTGTCCAAATCCAAAAATGACGTCAGGATTCAGCTGCGGGGTCATTTTGGACCCTTAAAATGAAGGTGGCCGGTGGCCCTTTCCTAAGACACATGAAAACAAGCAGTGTTTTGTGGCACGTACACACATAAATAATAATAAACTATACAGGATGCATCAAACAGTATAGATTTTGAGACCAAAGTTGATTTTTTAATCGGAACAGTACTTTTTTAAATCCATTTTCGAATTATTTATATTATGCGTAGAATTTGACACAGAATTCGAAAATGGATTTTAAAAATTACTGTTTCATTTAAATACATCCACTTTGGGATCAAAATCTTCTTTTTGGCGCATCTTATATATTTTCTCATTAGTGCAAAAAATTATAATAGGCGTGTGCTAGCATTTTTTTTACCCAAACACCTGATTTTTAAATGCATTTGTTCCGTATTTTAGCCGCCTACTGTATATCTTTGGCGTGTGTCAGGTGGCTATGTACCGAGTAGGTATATCACATATTCGAAACTATATTCACTCTACTAATTGCTAAATATTAATATTCCGTTCAAAAAAATCCCGGTTCAAATATTATAAAATATTAACATTACATGTGGAAAAATATTAGTAACTATAAGTTAATTAATTCAATACCAAGTACAACTATTCAACAATCTTGACCTTTCATTAATAAACCCAAAAAAGATAGTAAACTAATTTGAAAAATTATCAAATTTAAGCAATAATAAAGAAACAGTAAATGCATATACACAAAGTTGGTTGCAGACAAGCCTTTTGCATTTTCCAGGAAATTTGTCCGATAGGTATTCCAGCACGATTTGGGCGTTGTGCGCCGGTGCACCATCCTGTTGAACCAACAGTTTTCAACTTTTGTTTTTTTTGTGTGTGCCGGACATCATTGTATTCGTAATAAAAAGTCTACCCAATACAGTGTGTACGTTTTTGCGGGGCATATGAAAAAATAAAGTTGATGATGATTTGTCCAAAAAGTGGCAAGTGTTTTCTATTTCTTTGTATCTGTACAAATAACATCATAAAAAAATTAAAACAAAATCGTTCAAATACACCTTTTTGAATATTCCTGGTATATATTACACAAATATTTAATGTTATCTATTAAAAGGTGCTAGGTACTGTTAAAATTTCAGTAGGATGGGAAAAAGTTAGTTCTGCGCATGCACGCACGCGTCTTTTTACATGTTTAATGGATCCATTTGCATTTAGTAAAGAGTGCTACCGTTAAAATTTCAGTAAGATCAGTCCATAAATAAAAGATATTTCCGCGCATGCGCAGAAGGTCACGGCCTACCAGTCTGAAAATTAATAGGTGTGGTCTCCCAGCAACTAGTAATACGTCTTTACGGAATTTATCCTATTAAATTTTGAGTTATCGTATTATGCGAGGCGGATGGAACCGCACCGATCAATGATTTAAGCATCGGAATCCATGTATTTATCCAGAATCTTATTTACCACAATTCCAATCATCATATGAGATGTCATCAAAATTTTTAGGAGATGCCCTTGGATTCTTTTGTCTTCCTATAATCCTATTGAAATGATCTAGAAGTTCTAAAGGACTGAGCGAGTCTAAAAAGCTCTAAATGAACCTTATCGTTTTGCTAAAGACCTAAATAATCCTGAGTATAAAGTAGAATGGCCCGAGCACCAGTTTTTCATAGGCCAATTTAAAATATAAAAAAGTATCATGGGTGGTTTATATGCTATTTCTGTCCCACAACCTCCCCCCCCCCAAAGGGGGACATTCACACTGGCGTATTACAGCATACCTAAGCATATGAATAACATGTCAATAAATTAAATTCTATAAACATTTATTAAGCACAATTTATATTGCGATTGATTTAGTTGCCATGACAACAGCTTACATGTTACATTGCAAACAAGACTGTACACATTTTTTTCATAAATTTTTTGCGAGTTAAATACCGTACAGGTTTGTAAATATGTAACATAAAAATGACGCGAAAAACCACAGCTCCGATAGACATATACTTTCATATGACAAATCATTACCGGAAACTCAGAAATGTGAAAAGTGTAGTTGATACGTCTCCTCCAACAGTTTTTAAATCACAATCAAGTAGAGAAAGTAGGCTTACATCGAGAAATGAAAGTCGCATATCGTCAGCTAATAGTTCAGATAGGTAACAATTTTCGAATTTTGCTTTAGGCCTATACGTCGAATATTTCCAGTTACTATGCAAGTTTGCTGTATTTGAAGAAGAATAGACCTCAATCTGCCCGATCTCATAGTTTACCAGTAAAATCAACGAGACGGAAAATCGCGAATGTGCAATGTGTCGAACCGGGTTCGATAAAACCTCGTTCGGCATCAAGGCTCCGGTCAGCTTTAGTGCAAGTTAGTCCCCCACAGGTAAGTATTTTCAATAATTTTAGCAGGCTAACGCTTTGTAAATGTAGACATCGACACGTGAACAGCAGACTACTGAAATGACACACCCAAAAAAAACCTCGGAACACGAATATGTACGGTTCTCGTTACGAATTATAGAGGATATTATTCGTAATGACCTCCATACAAATAGGCAGATACAAGATGTATTCAATAGTCATATTGAGGCCAACCGTGAAACTCTGAACAATGTAAATGTACAAATTTCAAATTTTGTCATTACCTTATTTTCTTGTAGGAGAGAATGATGCAACAAATTAGTTTTTTAAAAACTGAATTCAACATACCAGAAAAAATTTACACGATGAAACAGTCGCAAAAATGTGTAAATTGTGTTGTAGCAAAAAAGAACTTGAGTTTAAACTGTGATGAGTGTGACGTCGTTCGTAACCCACCCTTATGCTACCGAGTTACGGAATTAACACCCAATTTTGAGAATGCCGAGCATTTAGACGAAGATAAAACAAACACCAAAGATGATAGCACTATTACAGTTATGCAAGCAGATATTGGTCTCTATGACAGCTATAAGCATTCAATGGAGCATACTGTATCTGAGGTAGAAAAAGAAGAGATTAAGTTAGATCAAGGTGAAGATGAGAGGGAAAATTTTAAAACTGCAGATGCAGAGTTTGTATTACTTCCTGGTCCTCTGTACATGCCGAAGGTTTACCTAAACGAAAGCAAAGGTGGCGAGAGTGTTTCGGTAGCACCAGTTTCTTCCGAAAAGAACCACTACTTACTCATAACGAAAAATGTGGCAGTCAACACGGACCAAAAATCGGCAAACTGCGAGGCCTCCACTCAGATAGAAACCGAATACAAAGCCACCTCCACCGAGACCGACTGTATCGATCAATCCGTCAACTTCTCGAATGTCCCCCAAAACAAAATATGCCAAGTCGATTTAAACCATTACGATTTGACGCCACAACGAGACGTCGATCTCTCGATAAATAAAGCGGATACAAACCTGCTGCTGGGCGACAAATACGAGATCGTTCAACACAAAATTAGAAATTTAGATATGTATACGTTAAACCAATTTTATCCGACTAGTGGTACACAAACTTCCTTAGACCGTCTCGTGCCCTTAAGAAAAATTCCTAAAGGCGCCCAGGAGTATTTTATTAATAATGGGCCGGACTTACTAGTTCCAAACGAACTTCATAAAGTCGATGCGAAAATTAAGCATGATCGAGGCAAGTTGAAGACAAAGGAACGAGTGAAATGTAACTTAAGAAGTGGAGCTACTGATCAAAATCCCCAGCACGAAGATTAACGTCATCATATCAAATTTCTGTAATTAAAGACGACACGTGGCAGATTGTAATTTAAACAGCTTTAACTAAATAAAATTCTTCTTTTTGTTTATTTGATGGTGATTGTTTTTACATAGGTACCTACTTTGGTCTTTCATTTGTTATACATGCATGTAGATGATTTGCCATATAAAGCAAACATTTTTGCTTAGAAAAGATATCAGTTTCAGTGGAAGATTTACTGGGGTTTAACTGCACCCTAAAGTTTCACTTCCAGGATCGTTCGGTATTCAGTTGTATCGAATTTTTAATTTGATTTTGTGATAATGGAAACTTCCCCTAAACATATCTAAATAGTTCTCAAATATTTGAATATCTTAAAAGTATTCGAATACTTTGCGAAGTATTCGAATACTAAATATTTGCGAAAGTATTTGAGTTACAAATACTGCTTCCATAAAAGTATTTACAAAATCGAAATTTAAAAAATACCAACTTTGGGTCAAGTGACTACATTACTAGATTCTACGTAAAAATATCTGAAATAGGCAGTATTTCCAATAATACAAATTTTGCGTCACTATTTGAAAAAAAAAGTTCGTGCGCTCAAAAAAATGTTTCTCAAAAATCCGCCCCGTTGTTTTTCGTTTCCATGTGTCTAATGCAGACTTTATTTCGGTCAGACTACCAAAAATAATTATGGAACTGTATGTGAGAATTTTAATTTTTAAGTGCAAATCTGATGGGTTATTTACGAATAAACACAAAGTTGGTTTATTTTACTTAAATTTATATCTTTTGTTTTGAAAGATTTGTTAGGTACGCAATTTTATCCATTTTTTGAATGAACTATTTGACGTTTGTTAATTTAAACTTTGACAGTCTCTAATCGTGTCTCATCAGACAGACTGGTTTACACTGAAACTCACACACCTAGGCGATGTCCTTGACCAGAGCTGGGAAGTAATCCATTACAGTATTTAATTACTTTTTGTGTAATCAGTAACTAAATACTTTTATTTTATAGCATATGTTATACTGGCATTTTAATAGGTTTGAACTGTGAGGGTAGATAAAGTGAAACAGATGATTGTACATTATAGTGACATCCGTCGTTCTTATTTCAAATGGGACGCGAAACACGGTATAAAATGACGTTCAGAACATAACAATGCTGTTTCTATAGTAACGACCGCGACGGCAGAATCTAAGCTTGCTATTTTTGACGTCTAAACTAAATTCAAAATTGTCAGAAGCTTCACAACGATTTATATGGCTTCTGCTATAAAATAAAGTGTTGTATAATACACGACGGTAAAGGGAAACTACCCATCTCGCGAAAGTTAATTCACTCAATGTAAAATATCCCTTTATCGTCTTATATAATAAATGACTATTAAATTACTGTAATTACTTAATCAGTATTGTAATTTAATTACGATACTAATCGTAATTAGTAATCATGAATACAAAAGGTAATCACAGTTATATATTGGTGCAGTAAGTATTACCAAGAAACCAAAAGAAATATGTAGCAAAATGGAATTAGAGCTAGTTAAATATCTAGACGATAGACGAAAGAATTTTTAAGTGTTGAATGAGGATCTATTGCTAGATTTTGAATTTAAAGTACAATACAGGCTTGAGAGATTATTTTAAATAAATATCTTCTTCTTTTACAAACACAAAAAGTTAAAAAAAAAAGTAATTGTGATTACAATGCGAAAGTAATCAGTTACTACAATTAAATATTTTTCTGGCAAAGTAATTTGTAATCACTATTTGAATACTTTTCTGAGGAATCATGCCAGCTCTGTCCTTGACTGTCCATGTACTGTATGGTCTAAAAGGTCTAAATGCATGTTTCATGTGGAGAAGTATATCCTGTCGCAGTTGGCGTTATTGAAGTCCGTAATTGGCGGTGTATTTGAAAATTCATGAGGAATTTTTTTTATGGTTGAAGTGGTTAAATACTGAAGACAACGGGAAGACAGGGCTTTTTTATATCGCGACGGTTTGAGAACGTGTACATTTCCTTACGCTAAATTTTTCGAGCAGTCAGCCTCTTTATGTGTTAACGTAATTCGTCGGTATCGAAATAAAGTGTACGAAAGAAGTTAAGTAATAGATTTAATTATTACATTGTCCAAGCGAATAAATGTTCGTGGAAAAGTTAGTACCGAGTATTTTTGCACAGTGAAGCCTTTGATAGGCTTTGTCATGCATAGTGCCTGAGAAACCACGAAATCTAATTGAACAAGGCAATTCGAATCATTGAGTTCAGTTTAATAGAAAAGAAGTGAAGCTGTCAGCAAGTGTTTTTGGTGACAGTGCTAAGTGCGTCTGAATATTATTGAATTATAAAAAAAACTGTAAGTAGGTAGTTAAGATTTCTTAACTTCTTAATTTTTTTTTTGTTTTGCAGAATAAATTCTTGTCTTTAATAATTAACTGTGTTTAATTGAACCCTAAGTGCGACCCAGATAAGAGTTTTCATTTCAGATTTTTCTATTCGTACCTAGGATCCACGGCCGATAAGACAAACAATTGCAAATACATAAATAAAAGTTTGGTGCAAAACATGCCTATTGATGTTTCGCCTAAATAAAAGTATGTCTCCCAATATTCGGGCTTGTATTATTAAATTAAATTAAAAAAGAAGAATAAATATGGCCTACATTAAATTAATTCTTTTTTTTCTCTTCCAAAAAATGTTCACTTACTAAAACCAATTGCATGCAGCCCGTGAATCACAATGAATTGAAAGTGGCCAGGCATGTATTAAATGTAAGTTCTTTGATATAATTTATAAGTCGGACATACCTGGTTCTTAAAGATTCAGAAGAAATCCATGGAAAATTTTTCTAGAAGGCGATTACTTGCGGTGCTTACAAAATTCATCAAACGATCCATAAAAATTTGCTGCGGCTAGCACCCACTCCTGCGCATGCGCGATTCTGGCCAAATGCTTTTCCTTTTGTCTAAGAATATGGTTCCAATTGGTTTAGCCGGAAATAAAGAGTACAGGCAGAGAAACCGACATCAGCAAGATTTTGTTTGATTCAGATTCCTGGTGCTTCAAGAAAGTGCGGGTGGTAATTAACCGAATTTGTGCTTGAAACACAAAACTTCTCATTTATACTTCATTTTCCACTGGCCTTTACGGGAGGGAGAGTTTTCCATATACACACAGAGCTGGCTGGTAAATAGTTTCAGTGTGGAATTCTTCAAATGTCAAATCCAGTACAGATACGCCGGCATTTAACAAGCCACATGCAGACCTTGGTACTTGGAGGTTTGATTTGTAACATGAAATGCGGAAACAATACAAATAGCAAAGCTAGTTCTGGATGTCAAAATCGACAAACAAATAATTGAACATACGTAATATGTACAACGTTGAAAAGGTATCCATGGATGACCAGAACAATAATCTTACAATATGAAACAAATATCAATTAAAACTATGTAAATAGACTACAAGATAAAGGATTCTAAAATGTCACACTTCTTTTGTTTGACAAGACAATTGAAGACTCAACACTAGGGCTGGGCGATTACGGGTTTGAATAATCGATTATGAAAAATTATCGATTACACTGATTAATCGATTAATCAAATAATCTATTAATTTAATAGAATAATCAAACCCGATTATCGATTGATTATAATCGATTAATCGATTTTTTTGCCCAACGCTCCTCAACACAACGAAAAGGACATTTGTCTACATTGTTTTGTACTAGACTAAAAATATATTGTAAGCAAACCCATATTTTCTTAGAATAGATAAAAAAATAATTAAGTACGTTTAATTTACAATTTTATATACAAAATTGGAATGTTAACATACTTTTATATACATGGACGAACAAGTAAGGTAATTAAGTACAAGATAATACACGTACAAGGGATTTATACGGTGAAACAAATCAGCTTGCACATTCCAAAACGTAATTTAACAATTTATCACAAAACCACAGATTATTCGAAAACTACAATTATTTTCGTTCTTAAGAACTAACAAGATGCCAAACGCATTATTTTCGCCTTAGGATCACAAGTCGGAATTAAATAAATTACAGAAAACAGTGTACTAAAATAATACTCCTTGGTTCACAGCATGACCTGCTCTTTTAGTCATTTTTTCCAGGTTCGATTCTTCGGTGCGATAAATTCCAAATCCGGTATCGTCGATATACTCGGTACCGCGTTCATTTTCGGCTGTACCAGAATGTTGGGAGTTTTTTTGTTGGCTATCCGATTTTTGAGTAGGTCACCATCGAAAGTTGTGAAGCTTTGGAAGGATTCAAAAGAAGTGGGGTTTGCAATTATGTTCGGTGCGATGCTCGACGACCAACTGGAAAACTGTGGCGGACTGTTCCAGTCGAGATTCAGCTTGGGTAACGAGGTGCGTGGTGGTCTAGTGAAAACTGGGGGGGCAGGAGGAGGTTCACTGGAAACAAAATCATTCCATTCCTCTTCAACCTCGTCGGGCTTTGATGCAAACACGACGTACTGATTTGAGACCAAGGTTGATTGAAAGCCATTTTGTACCGACTGATTGAGGTGCGAGTTGTTTAATTGTTCCGTTTGGTTTGAGACAAAGTCACTCCAATCGTCTTCTTCAGCTTTTTTGTCACTTTCAACTACAGGCTCTTTAGCCGCTGGTTTATATAAACTGAACCGTTGCAAATCTTCTTCTGTAATTCCAGGATCTGGCCAGTTTATTGTTGTAGATGCCGCCGAAGGCTGTTGGCTCTCAATCTTGACAGGTTGAAGAATGGAAGGTTGTAGTGGTTCGCAGATCGCAGGTTCAGTCGGTGGTAAACAGCTTGTAGATTGAAACTCGGTAAATTCGTCATCGTCCTCTGGCACAACGGGAATTGATGTATCTGTGTTACTGATCGGTTCCAACTTGCAAGGGTCCAGTATATCTGATGCTGCAATATCGGACCGACTTGTCGGCGGTTCACTAGCGTCTTGTACAGACTCAGAAGTTCCCGATTGAAAATTAGCGAATTCGTCTCCATTCCGCAACTCCTTTCGTGGTAATTCAGGTGTCAAAATTGTAGGCTGTAGCCAACTAGGATCGTCCAATTTTACATTGGAAATATGCGTTTCACGCAGCGACATTGGCCAACTGTCATAAGCCGGTTCTTCCACCTTACCGGATTGAAAACAATGGAAATCGTCAAAATCGGTTTCAGCTTTATCGAAAACTTCTACCGGAATATTAGTGTTATTTGATTCCAGTTTTGTTTGCGTAATTGACTCGTTTGCGTGTTGAGCTGTGCCATTATTTAATTGTGGTTTTTCCACCTTGGGTGGGGTGACTGAAAAAAGTACTTATAAATTTGTGACTATTTCAGCGATAAATGCTAGCTAAAGAGACCTCCACAACTATAACAATGAACAAGTAGCATTTTACCGTATCTTTGTGGGGGCCTATTGCAAAACAAAAAAATTAGTTGCAGAACTCTAAATATGTATAATCTGAATGATTTCCTTTATAAGCAAAATGAAACCAAAATACAATACGGTTCTGCGACTAAAGTCTAGTTATATGCAACTTTCTCCAAAACCAATGCCAGAGCTTGTACAAACTTTTTTCTATGTATGGAAATAAATGGCAATGCATCAAAAATGACGCAAAGGTCTTATCTAAATTATAACAATAACAATAAACGACTTTATTAGACATTTTATATCTGAATATATATTTTTATGTAATCACGGGATAGACGAGAACGTGTGAGCGCATTCTTGAGAAAGACGCGTGATTATGTGGCGTCTAATTAGTTATGTTTAGTGGAAAAAGTGCTAAATATTGTTCTACAAGTCCTTTTTCCACACACATCAACAATTTTCAACGCTAAACAGCTAGTTTAGAAGAGTTAATTGCGGTTGGCCTACATAACGTTTCCACTTCATGTATGTGCAGGGTGTCCCATTAATAACGGTCACAGGCCATATCTATGGAACCGTTAATTGCACAGCTTCGGGGAAAAAATTTTGTTAACAAAAGGGGCCAAGAGAAATCGCTGGAAATTATTTTCAAGTTTGTAACTTCGCCGCTAGAGGGCGTACGATTCATGGTTAAGTAGACAAATGACTTTTTTCCTAAAATATACCCAACAAACATGCATAAAAAATACATGCATAGTAATCTTGTATCAATCTTGCATCATTTTGATGGAGCGCAAATTGCTCTAGCTCATAAAATATGAGGAGTGGGGGAAGGGGAACATCTCTTTAAGGAATTGATGTTAACTTCGGATTAGGTTAACAGATTTTCACATAATAGGTCTTGTTGGAAAGAGCTCTCTTCGTGGAATCAGATTTTACATGAAGAGAGTCTAATTAGTAAACGTGATGAGTGGTAGAGGACGCGATGTGACATTAACATAAACTTTGCAAGTTGTTTTGAAAATTTCAAATGGAACGATATAATTATTACATTATATTATCAAATAAGATGAAAAAGTGAGAATATCAGTGAAAACTGCATTTTGATATCTGTTTTCTAAGCAGAGATATGGGGAAAATACGAACATTCACAAATTTTAATTGCAATATTTATATTCATCCAAGTTGGATTTGAAACAAATGAACACATAGCAACCGATAATTATGTCAAAATGAATGAGGCGATGGCAGTTCAAAATTAACACTCGATCTAAGTTTTCTAATTATGAGCAACAAAAAAATGATTCAAACTTTAAATCAGAGAAATATGAATTAAGTAAATAATAAAAGAAATAATAATTATAATTAACGTAAATGTTCAATGTCTGCCATTATTTTCGACACAAAGACGAGTCTCTGCTGTGTAGCTCTCTCTACACAGACAGTTGCTTTAACTTCAGCCATGACTATGAATTACATTTCTAATTCTCGTCACCATATCGTTTCTTGTAGTTGGCCTTGTTAGAAAGACTGTGCGTCTTTTATCCCTTCAAACAAATTTAAGTCTAAGCAAGTTAAGTCGAGTGACCTAGCTGGTCATGAAAAAATACTTCCTCTTTCTATCCATTTGCCAGGATAACTCAAATTCAAACACTCTCGCCTCGACTCTCGCTTACCAAGAAATGTGCTGGGCACCCATAGTGGTGATAATTCGCACGAATACGTTTAATGAAAGGACTGATAAACTTTCTTTTGTTCTGTTTTCTTTTGTTTCAAAGCCAACTTGAATAAGCATCAATATTGCAATTAAAATTTGTGAATGTATTCGTATTTTCGCCAGATCTATGTTTAGAAAACAGATATCAAAATCCGGTTTTCACTGATATTCTCACTATTTCACCTTATTTGATCATATAATAATAATATCATTCCATTTGAAATTACCAAAAAAACCTGCAAAGTTTATGTTAATGTCACATCGCGCCCTCTACCACTCATCACATTTACTCTATTGACTCTATTAGTGTAAAATCTGATTCCGCGAAGAGAGCTCCTTCCAACAAGACCTATTTTGTGAAAATCTGTTAACCTAATCCGAAGTTACAATCAATTCCTTAAAGAGATGTTCCCCTTCCCCACTCCTCATATTTTATGAGCTAGAGCAATTTGTGCTCCATCAAAATGATGCAAAATTGATACAAGATTACTATGCATGTATTTTTTATGCATGTTTGTTGGGTATATTTTAGAGAAAAAGTCATTTTTCTACCTAACCATGAATCATACGCCCTCTAGCGGCGAAGTTAGAAACTTGAAAATAATTTCCAGCGATTTCTCTTGGCCCCTTTTGTTAACAAATTTTTTTTCCCGAAGCTGTGCAATTAACGGTTCCATAGATACAGCCTGTGACCATTATTAATGGACACCCTGTACAAGGAGGACGGCCACTACATGGAAAACTTTTGTAGTAACACGCTGGTATTATTTATCGAAGATTGCTGTGAAAAATATAAAAGATTGGAAGAAAATCTTCGTTCTCATAATGCCAGGTTCATTTATTTGCATTTTCCTGTGACGTCACAGTTACGTCAGCTGGTTTGAGACAAGGTACATAGTGCATTTTACACATATTAAATAAACTGAATTGCGTTGGCGTTTCTCTGAACAATTGTTTATATTGTGGCGCGTAAGACTTTGGGGTAAATTTTAATTGAATTTATCATTAGAATATTCGTTCAAATTGTGTATTAACTCTCACATAGAATTGTTTATTTTATTTAAAGTATAACCTGCATTTGACGGTATTTATATGGCATATCAAAAAAGATAAGTTTCATACAACGAGCTATAACCTAAGGTGCACCTACAAGTCAATGAGCGAGTAAGAAAAAAAACAACATCTTTGGCGCAACCAACGTGGAAGTATAATTTTCAATCCTATACATTGTGAAGATCCTGTCTAAATGCTGGAGTTCAGACAGGGATATTATCCATGTCTGCTCTTCCACTCAACCCTTAATTTATTTATGTGTGAGAAAAGGCGCTCCGCCGCGCGCGTAGGCCTTCAAGGTTAGGATTCTGTAAAAAAGAAGAGAAGCACGAACGTATTTTCTAAATTTTTAACCATTTAATTTATGCGAAATAGGTAGCCTTCTCCTGATACCAAAAATAACTCTTAGGCGCAATTTTTGTACAGGGTTATTCCATATACTTAGACAGCACGTAGCGCGTTTACAAGAAAACAACAAAAATTGTGAGGTTTATCAGAAATCGCCAGAAAAGTAAAAAGCAAATGAATATCGCAGTTAGTAAAAAATGCAAATTTGGTTAATTTTTAATAGAACACCCTATGCCTATACATTTTTCAAATTTGGAATAAATCTTATTTTTCTGATTTGAAAAATATATTGTTGACATTTACTTTAGCCGTTTTTGAAATATTTGTATTTATTTATTTTTTATTTTTATAAATTTTGGTTAATTTTGTTTATTGAAAATCAATATTAAAAACTAAATCTGGTCTAGGTTATTTCCAAGGTAAAAATAATATATCAATTAATAATAAATAAATGGGCATTTCATTTGTTTTGTTATGGCATCTGTGATTTGGTAAAACAATAATTTGATAATATACTATAAATGTAAAAATTTCAAATATGACTAAAGCAAATAACATATTTATATTTTTTCGAGCCACTTTTTTGTACAGATACAGGGTGAAAACGAAAAGTTCTAATAGACTTGGCTGACGGTCATTCCAAAAATCTGAAAAATATGATATAATATTAAAAAAATATACGTTGTGTTATATCAATGTTATCAGGGAAAAATTATAAACAATTGACTTTAAGATATACAGGGTGGTGCATTAAAAAAATACCAACTTTGAGCTGTGACTACACCACTAGATTCTACGCAAAAATATCTAAAATAGGCAGTATTTCGAATAATACAAATTTTGCGTCACTATTTGAAAAATAAAGTTCGTCCGCTCAAAAAAATGTTTCTCAAAAATCCGCCCCGTTGTTTTTCGTTTTCATGTGTCTAATGTAGACTTTATTACTGTCAGAACACCAAAAATAATGATGGAACTGTATATGAGAATTTCAATTTTTAAGTGCAACTCTGGTGAGTTATTTACGAATAAACACAAAGTTGGTTTATTTTACTTGAACTTATATTTATATCTTTTGTTTTAGAAGATTTGTTAGATGCGTAATTTTTTCGTTTTAATTTTATCACTATTTGACGTTAATTTAAACTTTGACAGTCTGTAATCGTGTCTCATCAGACATACTCGTTTACACTGAAACTCACACACCTAGGCGATGTCCTTGACCAGAGCTGGGAAGTAATCGATTACAGTATTTAATTACTTTTTGTGTAATCACTAAGTAAATACTTTTATTTTATAGCATATGTTATACTGGCATTTTAATAGGTTTAAACGAGTAGGCTAAGTCGCTCTTGAACTGTGAGGGTAGATAAAGTGAAACAGATGATTGTGCATTCTAATGACATGTCACTCTTATTTCAAATGGGACGCGAAGCACGGTATAAAATGACATTCTGAACATGACAATGCTATTTCTATAGTAACGACCGCGACGGCAGAATCTAAGCTTGCTATTTTTGACGTCTAAAGTAAATTCAGAATTGTCACAAGTTTTAAAACGATTTATATGGCTACTACTATAAAATAAAGTGTTGTATAATACACGACGATAAAGGGAAACTAACCATCTCGCGAAAGTTAATTCACTCAATGTAAAATATCCCTTTCTCGTCTTATATAACAAATGACTGTTAAAGTACTGTAATCACTTAATCAGTATTGTAATTTAATTACATTTTGCGGTATAATCGTAATTAGTAATCATGAATACAAAAGTAATCACAGTTATATATTGGTGCAGTAAGTATTACCAAGAAACCAAAAGAAATATGCAGCAATTAGAGCTAGTTAAATATCTAGACGATAGACGAAAGAATTTTTAAATGTTGAATGAGTATCTATTGCTAGAGATTTTGAGTTCAAAAGTACAATACTGGCTTGAAAGATTATTTTAAATAAATGTCTTCTTCTTTTACAAATAGAAAAAGCGAGGAAAAAGTTAAAAGAAAAAGTAATTGTGATTACAATGCCAAAGTAATCGATTACATTTGTAATCAGTAATCGAATACACATTTTATGAAGTAATCAGTTACTATAATTAAATATTTTTCTGGCAAAGAAATTTGTAATCAATATACGAATACAAATCTACAGGGTGTTCCATTAAAAATTTACCAAATTTGCATTTTTTACTAACTTTACGAGATTCATTGGTTTTTTTTTCTTTATGCTTAGAAGATGGTTAATAATAAATATAATTTGAGCATGTGTAATCCCCTTTGAGAGGGGGGGCTGTACCATGTGGCAATTAGACTCTCGTCGTTTAGGGGTGTACCCTCTTCAAGTATGAATTCTGCCAAAATGTTAAAAAAATCAAAAAAAAATATATCCCAAAACCAAGATACAACCGCTACGGTATGGGTGAGAGCTTTCATTCCATGTGCGATGTACCACCATAAATCTCAAATAGACGTGAATCGGGCTTGAAAACCTTGTGGCGATTGAACATTGACATTCAACCCGCATAATCAATCGTGATTCATCAAATCATTTATCTGCAAATCCAGAGACGATTTGTATCAAAATTTAAAAAAATTTATTTTTATTTTACGTTTGCCTTTACTTTTGAGTGGACGGCCAAAGCTGCTCTACCAATCCAACCCAATCCACTATACACTTACAAATATCCATTCTCGAACCCGGATTCAGACTAGGGAACCCTAGTACCGAAGTCCGATTTCAACTGAACTGCGCAACACGGGTCGGGGCGATATTGCTAAACAACCAAACCATTTTTTAAAAATTTAAAAAATTGTTTATTCAATCAATTGATATTTCCGACGTTGTAAAATGTAAAATGCTCTGCTAAAAGAATTTTATTTAATGCATAAATAGCGCGAGGATGTTACAGGTGGCCGCTGTACCGTTTCAAAAATGTGTATTTTATTAACTATAGGAAAATTTACACATACAGCGCTTCATAGCGAACATGCACAAAAGTATGTCTGGCGATAGCAAGAAATGTATTGGGGAAAGGGGCGATGATCTCTTCGAACCTAAGAACTTCCATGAACGCCAGGATTATGGAGATAGCCGAGTATGATTACATACCAGGATCTTAAACTTCAGAGCATTTTGAAAAATCGGAATTTTATAACATCATTTTGGGGTCAAATATGAGAAATCCTCATTTTTTACCTTTCCCTCAGGTTCCTTGACTCAAAAGTAATCTTGACTAATCGAGAAAATGTGAATTTTCACAAAAATATAATATTTGTCATATGTCACCTGATAGCTCGGCGACTCCATTGTCGTCTGCTCTACCATCATACACTACAGTGAAACGAGACCAATTTAGAACTACCGCTGTACAATATTTTATTTACCACGGGTATTATGTAACTTGTTCATTTAAAAAAGGAATAACAACTGTCACAATACCTTCGGGCGAGCAATCTTAGATATAATGTTACACACAGAATCACTCCAAGGACAATACACCGTCTACGTCACATAATCACTATGAGAAAGTTTTAACATTTACCTGCCTCAAAATGCCCTCAGCAGAACTGAATGGCTGGGAGATTAGTGCCATTACACACCCCGGACCAAAATGGCGAAACACAAACACCCTATGTATAGGGTAAACTATCATTACACCCTGTATATTTAAAATGGCACAGCCAATCACAATAAACAATTCAAATTCCCCACAACAATTCAAATCTGCTGCACCAATCCAAACTAAGCGCTACAAAATGGCGCAGCCAATTACAACGAAGCACTGTGACAACAGAAAAAAAGGGGGAGGGGAGAATCCGGCTTTTACTACTCATGTTGCAATATGTAATTTGATATTGATATAGTAGGTTTTTCCTACGTTTGCGCACAGGTCGTCGGTGTGTTACATTTGAATTAGGCATGTTTACATAGTATCTGCAATTGATAAAATAGAATGAGTATGTAGGAAACCATATGAGCAGTGCTGCATTGTGGTTGGTATACTGTAGAGGATCGTTGGTGTATTGAGTATACCAACTACAATGCTATACTTCTCATATGGTTTCCTACATACTTATTCTGTTCAATCGATTTCAGATACTATGTAAACATACTTAATTCAGATGTAATACACAGATGACGCGCGCAAACGTATGAAAATATTCCTATATAATTTATGTACAGCGCGAGGCGAGGCGGCATAGCCCCGAAAGACGAGTGTATGCTTTCTCAAAATCAAAAAACAAGATTAAATTAAAACACTACCTTAACACCTTAACACACTAAAACCGAAGTTAAAAAGTTTTCTGCGCTAGAACCTTCAACAAACGCAAACATAGAAATAATTCTACCTAAAATACCACTTTAAAATGCGAGGGATGCGATTTGTTAAAAATGAGCGCTTCAAAATGTTGGTCCTTCGAGCCAAATAAAATTTCTATTTGTTTTATTCCGCTTTTAGAAATGACATTTAAAGGAATGCGAACGATAAAATTCACAAAGATTACTCGGGAACATGGTTTTCAATTTTCACCGAAAACATTTACGGTTTCACTTCCCGGCGAACGCTAAATATCTACCAAATTGTAACTCAATAGCATCAAAACTGCGCCCTGCATGGAGTACCGAATTTTTAATTTTTCAGGGTTGGCAAAAATCTGGGTTTTTGTATGCTTTGGGTGGGGTTTTGGATATTTGTGTTGGGTTTTTGTGTTTTTCTTGGGTATTTGGGTGATTTTTGGGTATTTGTCGAATTTCCGGAACTCTAACCTCAAATTATAGAAAAATAACATTAATTTTGAACTTTTTTGAGCTGCCCGATAAAGTAGAAAAGCTTGTAAAAATAATAAAAATGAGCCACTTTAAAAAAGACTAAAAGTTGTTTTAGGTTTTTAATTATTATTTTTATTTTATTTTGTTCCTAATGAATAAGCCGTTTCGTATTCTATATTTTAATGTAAAATGTTCTTGAAACTTAGGAATAAGAATGTAAGACTGATCTATCAGTATCTGTCTGTTTCCAAGTAAACTACATTATATTTTGTTATTAAATACTATATAAAAATTATCTCGATTTGGTCTCAAATTCTTTGGGCTTTTGTATGGGTTTTTGTGCTGGGTTTTTGACACAAAAACTCTGTGGGTTTTCGTTTTGCCAACCCTGTAACTTTTTTGCCCAATCAAGGGAGCGCAAACATACATTTTCGATTTGTACAAATGAGGCGCTTGTAACGAGTAGCGTTTAGGGCCATTTGTGCTGAAGTAGTTCAAATTCAGTTCAATCGACTGAATAAACAAATTTGATTGGTAAATATCCAATTCAGTCAAAGGAACTTTAGATGCTTAGTTGGGACACCCTTGATAAGTTCAATGAGAGGGAATTTAATAGAGAATAGCATGGGGTTCAATGTGTCACTTTCGATCAGTTTATGAGATATACGAGTTCAGCCACAAGCAGACCGACTGCTGCCGTGACACCTATGGGCAAACTTTTAAACTAAAAAGTTAGTGAATTGTGCCAGACAACTAAAAGTGAACCAACCTAAATTGATGGGGAAAATACCAGGAATTTCCTGGGTTTCCCGATACAATTAAAATATACGTAATAATAACATATAAGATTAAACAGGTATTGAATTAAAACATCTCATTTAAGTTCACAAAATACAGCAAAAAATATACGTTCTGGAATTCAGAAACAATGCAAAAATAGTGATTTAAATAAAAGATGAGTAATTGGGGATACCCAATGTGCATACAATTTATGTATACTCTTTTTAAAATTCTTTACCACTTTTTTTATAGAAATTTGAATTCTGGGAATTTTCTTGTTCTTAGTGGACATTTCCTGGTTACCCATCATCTAATCAATCATTATCAATTTACTCATTTCACTTTTGGACCTTATAATTAAAGATTTTGGTCTGTGATAACAAGGAATATGGAGATTGTGCATATAAATCGACAACGAATGAAAAAAAAATCGCAACTTTAGCAAAATACTTACGTCTCAACCAAAATTCCCAATCGTCTAAATCATCGACGTTAGAAAACGAATTAGGGGACTGACTTGAAGAGTACTGAATGTCTAATGACGCTACCAACTGTTCTAAATCTAATAGCATTGTACTAGCTGGGGAATCTACCAACAGTTGGTATAAAATAAAGTGCAATAGAATAACAATCCAAAACGAATGCGTGAAAAAAATTTATTGTCAGAATAAATTCGCGCACCTGAACTGATAGCCGTAAAATACTTACTTTCGAGCGGATTTACAAGACCTGACCCCACCCAATCGAATTCGGCGGACGGAATTTCGGCGGGTTGAACCGACTCGTTGGCAACGTCTGCGCCGGAGGGACCGTCGGATTTGACCGGTTGCAATGGCGCGTAGCCTAAAGTTGCGGCGTAACGTGGCATTGACTCGTTCCACCGTGGTCCATACAACTGAAATATACTTGTACAGATGAATCAGAAGGTGGTGCACTTACAATATTTCGGGTGTCGATATTTAAGGCTTGCAGCAAACAACTTTGACTGCTAGACTTACTCCATTGATACGATAACGCGGGCGTATCGGTAATATCTTTTAATTGTACAAAAATCACATTAGCACTAGTGATATCCTCGTCTACGAATTCTTCGGTGATGTTTTCCAATGTGGGAAACATAACTTTAACAGTATCGTCCAGGTTAGAAGGCCAATCAACACTACAACTACTTTGTACCGAGTAATCATTGAAATCCCCAAATTCCTCATCGACTTTGTCCTCAGGAATTTCGGGCTCTACATTCAGACTAGCCAAACCCGATGTGCCTTCAAAAATCTCGTCATCCTGCTTGTACACGTCAAAATCGGCAAAATCGCCCTCCGAGTGAGGAGAACTCGCATCTACATCTACTGGTTTAATATCATTTACGACTGTGCAATTAGAAAGTTCAGTCTCTAATATTTCACTAATTTCTTTATCATCCTCGTCTAAATCGCATACTTTGGACGATATATCAGGGGGAATATCGGGGTAATACTGAAAACTATTATATTTGGTAACGCATTCGTCTAATCCGTTTTCGCCTTTTCTTCTGTCCAACTCCTCTTCAATACTGTCTATTTTTGGAATAGGTAATTCGCAGGTCGGTGACGAAACTGTAACTGCAAAGCATGTATTAACGTGAACTAAAATGTAATGCCATACCATCAGCATCAGAATGCAAGTCTGCCGCCATGGTAAAGGTACCGAATTCGTCGTCGTCATCCAGTGAAATTGTACCGACCATTGGAGGCGGTGAACTACTTAGCAAAGGTGGTATAATATTCGACATGCTGACTTTTTACAACCAAATTTAGGAAAATTTGTCAATACTTGCATATGTCACCTTCAATATTTCTATGACACGTAGTAAGCACTTTTTGTAATTAACTGATCTGTCGTTGGGCGTATAGACATTTCTTAATTTTACATCATTAAATGAGTACTTAAAACACGTCCACCTTTTCTTTAAAATTGTAAAACTAAAAACTTGTATTCCTTTCAACTGCCATTTTATCACCAACGAAGTTAGACGTTTTTGACACTGTGAAGTTGTCCTTTCACCAGAGACATGTCTCTGCCTTTCACCTACTTTTCAAATTCAAAGAAAGCAACGTTGTCAAGTGTCCACTGTATACAAAGCTGTTCATAAGTATCTCTTGTTTAATGTATTGTAAATGCGCAAACATTATATTTGTGTAGTCGTTGCGATTTTTTCGAGGTAGAATTCTCCAAATTCTCCCTACGCTTAAGATATTTCACGTTGTTTTGCTTTTTGAGACGATTTAGATTTTTCCTTACCTTTTCGATTTTTGAATTTTAGTGAACTTTCAATTGGGTATCGCATTTTCAAGAAACTCTTCGGACCCTTCAGATTCTTGCAATTTCTTCGAACCATTCGTATACTTTGGATTCTTCACTCAAATTCTTCTGATCATTTACTTCCTTCAAGTTTTTCAGATTCATGGAATTCTTTCGTTCAAAAGCATCTTATTCACATGAACGGTTTAGATTCTTAATTTTCTTTGAATTTTTCATTTTATTCCTATCACACATTTAAACAGCCTCTTAAAACCACAGAGCTCTGAAAAATTTCTTTGTAATGTAGGGCGCGTGGACAACTCTTGATCGCTCTTAAAGACTGTTTACAATTTTTTGAATCCCTTAAGAAACTAGAAAACCGGTTCAATAGCGTTAAAGACCTTCCTTCTTCAAAGACTCCTAAAAACTAAAATAGGCGTTCACAATAGTCGCCTTTGGAACCTTCCCATGACTTGATGCTTGACGCCACTCCTTTGAGCCATTCTGCGGTGGTGTCATCAGCACAGTTGACCAGCAACCAGCCACGTTGGAGGACACACCGTTCCTCAGGTTCCAAGGATACTCTCCTGAAGTGCTTTAAGTTCATCTGTAGTGACAGGTTCCCCTCGCCGGATACCTGCCAGGCAGAATCCCTACCTTTTTTTACCATCTGTAGCCTGTTTATGGGTTGTAGAGAGATTGACAGAGTCCTAGCTGTGGAAACGTACTCCCACTTGAACCTGTCGTCTCTCTGCGTGATCGCTTCCTTGTCTGGGCAGCCTCGGATGCGATATATCGTCGGACTGCGGGACCTTTTCTTCCCTTTGTCCGAGTTACCTTGTTCTCTCTTCTATACATGCTGCTAGACGGCTTGCTCGGCTACTTGAGGCCATGTTGCCTCAGCCAACGGTACCGTTGCCTTGCAGCAGCGCTCATGTTGGGGAGCCTAACATTCATCTGGATTTGGACCACATAGCCTCACGCAGCATACTTGCAGCTTCATCTGGATTTTGTGACTCCGCACAATGTGACGCAACTGCTGTATCTGACGAAGCACCAAGTAGGTCCAGGTCCAAAGGATGGTGCGCTTAGAGGAGCGAGGAGCAACACCCTCTGTTATTTTATCGGGTTTCCCGCCATGGCTGATTTGAAGTAGATCAGTACCAAGACGGCGCCGTTCTACTTCGTGCAAAGTCCTTGGCCTCTAACAGCTTTGTCTGTGTCCTGTGCGCATCCCATTTACGCATTAATAACCCTCTGTGTCTTATTAGATCATTCACAGGGCCATCCTCCTAATATCCGTCACTTCGGGACACGCCCTTTTGGGAGCCACCCTCCACATACAAGATGGGTACGGAGGAAGGAATATGCAAATGGATTTTGCACGTTCATTATAGTTTATAGTTTACGGAGAAAACAACTATTTTTTTCTTCTATTCAAGCAGTAGATCATGAAAACAATAATGACATATGTCTATTTTTAGTATTATTTTAGTACTAATACCTGGGTAAATCTGTCCGTCTTTCATCTACCAATTGTTTCCATTGCCTGAACAGATTGTGTACAAGGATAAACAGTCTTACATCAATTTCCCCATAGCTATGTGTCTGCCCAGAGATCGGCCCATTACCTTGCTGTCCCTCCTGATTCTCAAAACCAGATCCCATTCTTAGGTATACACAATTATTAGAATCTAACACCAAGCTTTAATAACAAGATGGTACAGAAAAAGAAAAATTGGGAATAATGAAATTACGGTCAAACTGAGTCACCCGCACAGATGTATAGGCAACACTTTATACTGAACGAATGTGACAACAGTATAGTAACACCCTGTATTTTCGTAACCGCCGAGTTATGATTGGTCCACCTTCCCTTAAAAATAACGAATTTGAAGTTTAAATTTTGATTGGTTCACTTTACTGGTTTTTAGCTTGACTGCAATGTGCATCTTGCACTTTTAACGTTTTGCAATGCCTTTTTCCTCTTTACTTACTCGTAAAGTAGACTTATTTATAACAATATTGTGATTTGTCTGTTTTGTTGATTAGTGTCAAAGTTTTACTCTCAAGCACGTTTTGAACAATGGCATCCTTTTTGAAGGAACAAGTTCCTGAAACTCCAGGTATGCAAGGTTTTTTAACGTGATAAGGTTTTGATTGTCAAGTTTTAGATCCATCTGATGATGAAGCATTATCTGCAAGTAAGGAACATTCTATTGTGGACTCTTCAATAGTTCATGATTCAGATTTCTCAGTGGAGGATCTAGGTGATGAAAACGAGGATGACAGTTTTAGTAAGTGTTTCAAATTGCACTATTTTTATTATTTAATATAGACCTATAAGAAGGTATTTTCAATTTTGATTTGACAGTTGATCAGCCCCAGTTAAATAATTAAAATGGCACGAGGTCCTGTTGGTTTATGTAAAGGAACGGAACCTTTTAGATATTCCACATATTCGTCTTGCATAGAACGCGAGCAAGACTCCCACTAATTGAAATTCAGGTAGCAAGACACTCTAGAGCCCCTTGTATGTGTTTGTTGTTGTCTCGCATAAATCATTCTTATGAAGATAATTTTAAATCATTTGTAAAATGTGCTGCATTTTAGTAAGAAAGCACCTTACAAATAGTTCATGTTTCCGACATTAAAAAGTTCTTGTTCTTTTTGTATTAGTCGTACCTGCACAGAGAAGAAATGGGCCAATTATCATAGATTCTGACTCGGATTCTGAAGAGGAAGATAGTGTAAGTATGACTATTTAAATTGTGAGACTATATATACTTTTTTTACCCACATAAACTTTTATTTAATTTTCTATCGGCTTATATTTAATTGTTTCCAGAAGTTTTCAAGGTTTTTAAATTTTGATTTTTTTTATTGTAAAAATGCTCTTAGCGTAGTGTTAAGTGGTAAGTAAAAGTGACAGTTTATAGTGCTTGTCTGTTTTTTTTTTTTGGCTACAAGTCATGGCCAACTAACAAAAATTCTTATCATACTTAGTATTTTTACAATACAAAAATTAAATAGCCACTATTATTATTATTAAAAGTTACCAAGTTCCATTTAAAAATTTTTTCAATTCAAAATTTAATGTTCTATGTTCTACCAATACAGTCCACGAAAGAGGCACCCTTTATAATTAAAAAATAACAGCTATCTTAGTTGGCAATTCTGACTTTGACTGCAATATCATTTTTGGGATAAAAATTAAAATGGTCAAAAACAGTTAAATTTATCCAGTGTGTTTGAGACAAGAGGGTACCCTCAATATCTTTTTTATGTGGCGAGATATACATATAAATATGTGACATTACCTATGTTTTTTTTTAAGATATTTGAAAAGACCAATCAATTTGCGGTACAACATAAAAAATGCATGTGTTTGATATACCAAAAAGTGAGAAATTCGTGATTCAATATTTAGAAAACTTCTGAAATCTAGCACACCGTGTGGTGTCAGGATGCGTTAACTAGGATAGCTGTTAGTTTGCCACAAATCACTCCATTTTTAACAATATGGAGCTGCCACTCTACCACTGGCGTAGACTTGGTCTTGGTTCTGACATTGGCCACTTGCCCTCCCCTATGAAATATAATACTTGTCGTATTTGATATTCAACTTAACTATACAGGATGGATCAGATGTGCAAGATATTGATGATGCAAGTCCAATTAAGGTAGACAGCATGGGATCTTTTAGTCAGTACAATCAGAGCAAGGTAGGTTAAGGGCTTTATTAATCTCAATTTTAAAATACTACTCTGAAAAAAATGTTTAAGATTTGATTTCTAAAATGTTGAGACTTTGAACTTTCAAAAAAATTGAATAATTTTAATTTTTTGAACCTGGAATTATTGAATATCACAAAATTATTGGAAAATTTAAATGCTCCAGTTCTCTATAATGTTGACGATAGAATTAAAAAAAAATTTTGTAATTTTGATTCTTTGAACTTCGAATTGTAAGTTTTTGAATATTGCGAAATTTACACATCCAAGTTTCTTTAATTCTTGGCACTTTGAATTAAAAAAAAATTAAATTTAAATTTTTTGAACTTCATTATATGTTACAAATTCTCAAATATCGTGAAACTTAAATTGGAAAATTGAAATGTTCAAGTTTGTTAAATGTTGACTTTGAATTTTCAAAAAAATTGTGAAATTTGGTTATTTTTAAATTGAATTAAGTTTTAAGTGGGCTGTTTCACCCTCTATTTCACTCGACCTAGCTGGAGGCAAATGGAAAAATTGCACTACCACTTCATAAAATATGTAAAATACCTCGTTGGTGACATAAAAACCTATCCTGATTGTTAGTTTATTAAGTAAAGAAAGAATAAAATTTAGGGGGTTACCTGAAAACCTATTTGCGGGGGCGGTGCAAGTTCCCATTTTCGCAAGTTAGAACTTGTCCTTTTCCTTTTGTCACCGACGAAAGCTTATCCCCAGGCCAGTTGTTAGTTTAACCTGGTTTCCACTCGTCCTATTGTCTTGGTTCTGACTTGGACACTTGCTCTCCCCTCAACATAATACTTGTCATATTTGATATTCAACTTAACTACAGGACGAATCAGATGTGCAAGAGATTGATGATGGAAGTCCAATTAAGGTAGAGACCAAGGGAACTTTTCAACCGCACGATGGGAAACAAGAGAGCAAGGTAGGTTAATCTTAATATTAAAATTTACCAAAACTACGTTTTGAACTATAGCATAACATAGCCAGCAAGATGCATCAAAGCAAAATTGAAACTGCTAAAATGACCGAGGATACTAGTCCAAAGCAGCTAGTTTCAAGTGTTCAGTATAACGCTCAACAAAGCAAAATTGAAACTCTACGCTATTCGTTAGAGAAAATGAAGGTAGTTGCACGAGCGGCGTTGCCAATACTGTGATTATTATGTTATAGAACTTTATGCGTGAAGTTACTTTGAGTAAACTTCCCGATGGAGGAAGGTCTGTTTTGGCTCGGCTAGACAAACTTCAGCAGGAGTACAAATTAGAAGAATCAATATTTAAACAAATGAAAATAGACACAACCGAGCAACCCAAACTACAACCGGTATCCTGGACACAATTGGAGCAGGGTCTCGGACGCGTCGAACCAAAAACATTTGGCAAAAAAGGTACGGATTATTCCGTAATTGATGATAGTCTAATTTTGCTTTTAGCTATGCAAACTCTTAATGTACAGAAGGCCTTGACTATGGATCGTTTGGAACAATTACACGGATCGTTAAAAAGTTGTCCTACTGCAGAAACGGAAATTGACCAGCCGGAAGGTCTAAAGGTTGAGCTGATGTCTCATCAGAAACACGCGTTGGCTTGGCTAATGTGGCGCGAAAAGCAGAAGCCACCTGGCGGTATCTTAGGTGAGTCGACCGTGGTGGGAGTATTTAAACTTAATGCCTCGTTTTACAGCGGATGACATGGGCTTAGGAAAAACTCTTACAATGATCTCGCTAACTCTGAAAGTTTTGCAACAGGAAGAGGAAGATAATGAAAACGAGGCCCCTGGGAGATCGTCTAAATATCCCGGCGGAACTTTGGTAGTGTGTCCGGCTAGTGTAATCTACCAGTGGGAAGCTGAAATTAAAAAACATGTAAAAAAAGGTTTACTCACGGTAGGAATGTATCATGGGGGTGACAGAGATACAAAGGCTAAAAGGTTGCAACTCTGCCTTTTTTTTTTGTATATATCTGAGAGTATCATTTTAGATTGGCCAAGCATAATATAGTGCTCACCACTTATGCGCTGGTCATGAGCGATTTTCAAAAAGACGGTCCTTTATTTAAAGTGAAATGGCGCCGTATCATTGTAGACGAGGCGCACCAAATCAGAAACTATAAAACAAAAACTGCAGTTGCCATGTGCGAGCTATCGGCAAGGTCGAGATGGGTGCTAACCGGAACACCAATCCATAACAAAGAACTGGACTTGTACTCCTTATTAAAGTTTTTACGATGCTCACCATTTGATGATTTGGCAGTAAGTATTTTCGGTTTTTTCTTCCGACAAACTACCCGTAAATTATAGGTTTGGAAAAGGTGGGTGGCAAATAAACAGGCTGGAGGTCAAGATCGCATGAACACGGTTATGTCGTCTCTTTTGTTGCGTAGAACCAAACAGGAGCTGCAAGAGAAAAAAATGTTAAATTCCCTACCGGAAAAGTCTTGGACACTTGTATCGGTTAATTTGGATAAGGAAGAGACTAGTATTTACCAAAAGATTTTGATCTTTTCGCGAACGCTTTTTGCTCAATTTTTGCATCAGCGTGCAGAAAAGAGGGATGAGTTGGCTCCACCGACTGGTAAATAGATTTATTTTCTTGGTGTTTATGGTTGTGGTTTTTTATGTCAGAGACAATCTCGGGCATTAACTCTAATACACAGGGCACTGTGTAACGATTTATTTTCTTCATTACAAGCATTATTAGTGTTGAAAGATCCTCGTAACTTTTCGATAGATGGCTCTATCGACTGTTGAAATTTTAACCACGCCTTTCGCCGCGCAGAATGTCCGCGCCGTGATTTTTGGTCGTCGATTGTCTTCCTTCCTTTCTGTCGAGAACCGTATCAGGTGACACGTCATTAAAACTAACAGCTGAGGCGTAACTTAGAACGCATGGAATTTTAATTGCCATCATCCATGTTTTATTAATATCTGGCAATTGGATTCATTAAATTGGGGATTCTGGAATAATTAGTGAACGGATTCACCTTTTTTGTAGCTACATTCTACAGTTCCGATCCCTAAACTATGTAATCTTTTTCAGCCAAACCAAACGAAGAGTATTATAAAATGCATAAACATCTTCTCAAGTTAAATAGGGTCAAAGCAGTAACACAGACCGAGATTTTAATGTTAATTTTGCGCCTTAGGCAAATCTGTTGTCATCCTTCGCTAATTACCAACGTAAGTATACTCACACTCAAGCTTCAATAAATGAATTCGAACCGCATGGTCGCTAGGAGGGTTTTTTATGAGATATCTCTAGATTAGTTTTAAGAGAACTGCTTTGTTTATGGAACGCCTGGTATACTTTCATTTTTTCTTTAGATATACGTCATTGATTAAAAACCCTGTAAGAAGTATAACGCTTATTAAGAACCGCGTGACATACCCTCTGCTTGGCGCGCTTGTTTAGATCACCGAATTGTATGTGCGCTAAATGCCGCTACCAGCGTGTTACTGAACCATTTTCTGAATCCTGCAACGAAGTAAACAGAATTTAACCATGACGTGGCAAGAAAAGAAGAGTCGTATCCACAGAAACGGCATTGGCATATGTTCTGAACGTCATTTTATATCGCGCTGTGCGTCCCATTTAAAATAAGAATGACAGATTTCATTAAAATGCACAATCATCTGTTTCACTTGCGGTTAAAGTGATCACTTTATCTACCCTCATGGTTAAGGAGCGACTTAGCCTACACATTCAAACCTATTAAAATGTTAATTTAACATTGTTATAAAATAAATAATATAAAATAAATTTTGCAGTTGTTCACATTTTGACATCTATGTGCAAAATAAGTTTTGGATTTTAAATATCTCCAAAGGAACAAGTCCTTATGTAAAAGATGGGGAGACTTACCCCTACCAGGCCAGTTAATCGTATAATTTTATAAAATGTTCGAAACACAAGTTGTAGGGAATTAAAAAAGACACCTGTTTGTATCTACACTTTTTTCACATACCTCTAACATTCAGAGAAAAGACTCGAATAACTGTTTTTTAGTTTTCATTTTTTATTTTTGCGACAAAAAATCGTATGGGTCTAAAATTTGGAGGAAACATAGGTCTTTTTTTATGAGAAAAAAGGAGATAATTGTTTGGAGGCGTAAAGTTGGGTCGTTTCGAGATATTCACGATTTTCGGAAAAACCACCCTTCTAGTACAAGATCTCACATAAGGTCAACATTCGCCCATCTTGATGGGGTAAACAAGGCCTTGGAGTGACAGACGGAGAAAGTGGCCATAATAGCGCCTTCCAACATAAGTTGGAAAATGCTTCATAGCCCATTCAAATTCACTAATCCGGCAATTCCAGTAATCCATGATATGGGAGAAAAAATTTGGGTGCCGGATTACCGAGCACCTACTGTATTTGAATACTTTAAAGTAATTAAATACTAAAAAGTATTTCCAACATCAAATACTGCCCAGATCCACCTATATGCAACAATGCCTTTTACGTACACTATATAAAGAATAAAAAAGGTCAGTCTATTGACATTGGGGGATTGCGACCGACCTGCAGTTGTTTAGTCGGCCGCTTATTAAATAAGATCTCAGATATGGAAACTACAAAAAATAATCTGATGAATAAATAAAAATACCGCCTTCATTTCAAAAATTGTTTATCTTTAATAACAAAAGTTTGGGCGAACAAAGAGAAATCGACTAAATTTGAGAAACGCCTCCTAGCGGCCAACAGTTTCATACCTCAGAGGTAGAAACTATTAAAAACAATTGCCAGGTTATTAGCAACCATACAATTAGGAAACGATCCCGTGGTAACTGGCACTTTAAGATCAGCACAGGTCGCTTCTCACAGTCCACAATAAAATCTTTTCGCAGATGTTACAGGGCGAGGAAAATTTAGATGACGAAGACATACAAGGGGTGGATGAATTAAATCTTCTAGAACAATTAAATAATTTAAACATAAATGAAGAGGACGCGAATGACGTCCCCGACGAAAATAACACGTTAGGATTAGCAGCCGCTTCCCGCAATTTGCTTAATCCGTCTAATCCAATTTTTGCGGAGGACAGGCAAAGTAGCAAAGTAAAGACTCGAATTTGTCGAAAAAACCGACAACTAACGGATAACTTTCAGATGAAAGTGATGCTGTCGTTGATCAGGGAAAGTATTGATAGCGGTGACAAGATCATTGTCGTTTCGCAGTGGACGAGAGTGCTTGATCTACTGACAATTCAATTGAGAGCTTGTCGTTTGGAGCATTACCGGCTGGATGGGTCTGTACCGATTCATAAACGAATGACGCTTGTTACCAATTTTAATAACCCAAAAGATGGAGTGAAAGTAAGTTGAAATGAATCTTTCTGGTTGTGTAAGTGAAAATATTCGTAGGTCTTTCTGTTATCGCTAAGTGCCGGAGGGGTCGGATTAAATTTAATCGGCGGAAATCGTTTAATTTTAACCGATCTTCACTGGAATCCCCAGTTGGAAATGCAAGCACAAGATAGAATATATAGGGTCGGCCAAACGAAACCTGTAAAGATTTTTAAGTAAGTAATTGTAATATTGTGTGTATACCTAACACATTTTTCAAGGATAATGGCGTTGGATACGATTGAGGAACGAATAAAGCAATTACAAAAAAACAAATTAGAGATGTCCGATAAAGTGTTATCGGGGGTTCAAGTCGGGGAGCAAAGCAAGCTGTCGTTAAATGATATAAAATTGCTTTTTAATATGTGATGTACGTAAGATTTTTATATTCTTAAATTACTTTTTTAATGTACATAGTTAAGGTCTAAAGATTGGTTAATTAAAATATTTTGTAAATTTTTTTTATACAGTACTGCAGGAAATATAAGTCATGTTGTCTAAGCAGAACTATAACCACCAGTTTAATTTCATTAAACCTGCCAGTAACAAACAATATCATTTAATAGAACAAAAGGGGAAAAATTTCTTTGATTTTCAACTGTATGTAATGAACATGATTTCTGTTTCCCATCTAAATGGGAACTGTAGGTACCGCATGACGTCATACGCATAATCGAAGGTCCCACAAGCCAGCAGAGCCATTTTAGAAAAATGAAGGACGAAATACATCAGAATTATAGGCTGATTATAGGCCCTTTTTGGACACTTTAACAAATTTTCAGACGGCATTTTTTAAAGAAAAAAACTATGGCTCTGCTGGCTAAAGACGAAGCTAACTGACCACTTGTGAGATTTGCTTCGAAGGTGAAAAATTCAGATCACAAAATTATAGGCTATTTATAGGCTTTTTGAGACACTACAACAAATTTTCAGGCGGCATCCTTTAAACAAAAAAAACTATCATCCAGATCAGTTTGATTTTGCCCCTCTCGGAGATGTAGTGGATAAATAAAAATTATTTATTTATTGTCCCTCTCTTGTTCTAGGCCCTCAATGGGCTTTCGCCCAATTAATATATTTATTTAAACTCTAACTTATATTTCAAAAATCCGATACAACTGAATACCAAACGATCCTCAAGATCTTCACACATACATCATTTTTACAATACACCCTAAGGGGTTGATTCTGTCCCACCTGATATAGCTTGTAACACAAATTTTTTGAAATGGAATTAGTTTTATTTTTATTTGAGGTGCCTGCATACAACATTTCATTTAAATACCTTAACAAATAAAAGAAAACCGACTGCGCATGCGCAAAACAAATTTTTTGATTTGGCATTAGTTTCACTTATTGGAGGTGCCTAGATACAGAATTTCATTTAAATATATTAACAAATAAAAAATTAGGATTGCGCAAATACAAAAGTTGTTATGCGCATGCGCAGTATTTGTTTGCATTTGCATAGTTGCCTGAAGTTTAAGGAACTAACACAGAAAACCGGACATTCATATGTTCTTTGTAACAAGAGTTAGAAACCCTTTTTGGAGGTTTGCGCAGTTTTTGGTCTGTAACTTTTTGGTCCGTTGGTCTACGTAGCCGAAAAACAATTGCGAACTTTGTTATATCCTGAAGAACATGTGTATATCAATTTTTAAGCGATCGGACGTTTCTACACAAAGTTATCGTACACACTGACAGACAGACGGACAGACAGACGTACAGGCAGGCAGCAATACAAAATTATAAACGATCTCGAGGTTCGTTAATAATATAATGAGACGAATAATTTTAATTTTTTTTGTACTTCTTTCCAATTCAGGAATATCGTTTCAACTTTTCTTCTCCTATAATACAAGAGAAGATGCATAGACAACTCAGACACTTTTAACATTACTTTTTTTAAAACCTGAAACACAACAACTCGCTATATATTTGATTTATTAATAAAAGAAAATTCAAATTTCAAATACCTACTTGACAGATGTCTCCAAACAGGTGGAACAATCCCTAACATTAAAGTTACTAGAATCTGGTAACTTCCGCAATTTTTGGGCAAAAAAACATGCGTTCTCTCTCTAACACACGGGCCCAATGGATTGCGGTACTTTCTATATTTAGTGACTTATAATGGATCTACAGTGACTGTATACCTACTGTATAGAGGCAGTTTGGTCAAAATTTGGTGTTTTTTTATTGGTATGTGGGATATCCGCCATATTTTAACCAAATAAATCGGGTTGGCGGAAATTAACTTGGAATCCAAGGTGATCAAGTCACAAACAGTTGTGGCAATAATATTGTAACCATAGAAAAATGCCAAGATCTACCAATTCAATTAAACCGATCAGCTTAATGAAGAATATGGGAAAAACATGGCGGATATAGAGCATATGACCACACTGTCTTTATACAGTCACTGTTAATGGATCGATATTAATTACAAGGCAAAAATTTTGCGCATGGGCTAGCTTCTTCTTTAGTCAGGAAAATCATAGTTTTTTTTGTTTAAAGGATGCCGCTTGAAAATTTGTTCAAGTGTCCAAAAAGGGCCTATAATCCTGATGTATTTCGTCCTTCATTTTTCTAAAATGGCTCTGCTGGCTTGTGGGACCTTAAAATCGAACAGGATTGAGACAGCATAGTATCATATCTTTCTTGGCTTTCTCTTCCCTTGCATCATGTGTAATGAACACCAGGAGCAGACTGATGTGTAAGTTTTTTGGGCTGCAGGTCGAAGGTTCCTGGCCCTTGCAGAAATTAATAATGAAATAAACTGAAAACATGAGACACAGGGTGTTCAATAATATGAGTGTAGAAAAACGCATTTCAGACCTTTTTGGAGCAAAGTTTTTATGGTAGGTTCTTCTAATAAAAGCAAACAAAATGGCACCGCACATGCGCAATAGACAACTTTATTATTTGTGGAGCAATTTGATCTAAATTTTTATGGTAGGTTCCTCTAATGATGTACCGAAAAATTGAATCGTGCCGCTCATATTAAGGCGCCTTGGTACCTGAGTCGGGATCTACTGGTGTTATCTGCGTAACTTCCTTCTGAACCAGGTGCTTTGTTTGTTCCTTTTCTTACTTTTGGATCTATTGAAATCCATAGTGGTCCAGCGACCCAGATGAAAACATCGTTAATTGCCGCCATTATGGTGCATCACTGTAAGAAGCCTGGAATTATTAACACAGTTACCTAAAGTACGTTTACATGGTGACTTAACGCCAGTTATAATTCTTAATTTTAGTAAAACCAGCGTCTTGCCCTGTAAACGTAGTCATAGTCGCTGCCAACTAGTGAACGCTTGGTTGTTTGTCGACGCGGGAAAATACAAATTAACGTGCGCGCGTCACCTGCCGCATGTTCTATCATTATGGACCTACGAGTAAAAACAAGCGAGTAACATTAAAGGAGCACGCGACGGAAATGGATAAAAAGCAGACAAAAGAGTGGGGGAAAGTGTCCCCATTTTGGCGGGGGGGGGGGGGGTTGTTACACTTTTTCACACAAAAAATAGTCACATGAAAATACCATAGACAGTCAGATTGAGTTGATGACCCACATGTACGTGTGCTGTATACTTTATGATACGCCGCCTCTCATCTCAGTCACCTGACACACTGAACTTTATTGGCCATTTCCACTTTGGTCCCTTGAAATCAGTTGATTATTTTACTTCTATTGTTAAATAATTTCCCTTGAAATTACAAAAATCCAATCCACTAGAGAATGTCAAGGTTTTTTTTGCAAGTGTTAGCGAAGCAATAAGCTCCTCTTTGAAAATTAAAAATGCGCTTTATCTGGACATGTGATTCCCAAAAAGCCACTTCTCTTACAAAAAAAGTAATCGCTTGACCGACATTGCACAATGTAAAAAAACCCACTTTAAAAAATGTGATGTAATGAATAAATAGTGCACTGTGCGAAGCCGAGGTATGGGTCATCATGTATCTGAACGAGACGAGTGGTATGTTTTATCAAAATCAAATCAAAACCTTAACACACAAAAACCGAAAATTAAAAAGTTCTGACCTTGTGTGTGTGGTAATAATTTTACATACCTACACGTTTTGATAATGTGTAAAGTAAATGATAACGAGATGAAATTAAAACAGTTGTATGCAAACGGAAGAAATGAGGTAGCACAAATTATCTACACTAAATTACAATGAGATTTGTTAAAAACGCCGCAAGATATTGGTCCTTTGAGCCAAATGAAATTGATTATAAATAAATAGAATTTTGCAACTCGACGTTTGAAAGAACCCAAACGATATTTTTACGATCATTAAGCAAATTAATTATAAATTACCCAAGGGTAAACCAATAAAAAACGGCGTGTGATTCGAAAATATCATTGCTTTCCATATGTATTGTTTTATTATGAGAAACACTTATAAACTATGCAAAAAAATAATGCCGTAATCAAGTAAATTGCATAACCAGCATCTACAGTATATGCTTTAGCAAACTGTATAGTACCATTACATTACAAAATGTTTAAGAATACATAAAACATATTTATAACAGTCTTCCGGGAAGATTCCTATTTAATTTGAACTAAAAGTTGTAGAGAAATATCTACATACTTAAATATTAACAACAGCACATAGATTACATATACAAGGCACATTTATTTTGTGGGGTACATCATGATTTAGATTTGTCTAAATGAGTAAACATTCTAAACATGTATAATGTGCCTTCACATTGTCATGGAACAAAACGATAGTCCCTGAGTAAAAAACAGATAAACGAACAATAAAACTTAGGCAGTGAACATAACCATGGTAAGTAAAATAATTGCGATTATAATGCTAACAAGCATGAAAACAAATACTCCCACTTTACCCATTGGCTCCGACCCTGGAAAAATATAAAACATTATAAAACAAGAAATGAAAAAGTATAATAATAAAAAATAAAGTAAAAACAAAACCTTTAACGCCAATTGTCGGTATAACGGTTATTGTTATTTTGGTAGTAATCATAATGGGAACTAGACTTCGTAGTATGCGTAGTTTTAGTTTTGCTGACTATAACAGCGACAACAATAATAATTCCAATAACGACAGACCAAAAGTATCCGCAATATTTTTTCGTATTCGTTTTCTGAACCTGTAAATTATAAAAGTATTTTAATGGAGCGCTTAAAACTACTACTACGCAGCTGTCATATACTAGCCAAGCTTTTGTGTGTTGCTCTATGTACTATGACAAACAAAATAAAAAACAATTTTTCACAGAATTGTTTAGATAATAATTTAATATCCTTACCAATTACAGGACATATACACGTTAATTACCTGGTAAGTGCACACAAAGTAAATTAAATTAAATAAATTTCTAAACTAAAGATAGATTAATAATAACAATTCGTTTTAGAAAACATACCTTAAATTAGCACAAGAACAAGGGGAAAAAAACTAAAGATTGTTCATTATATTTAAATCGAATTAAAAATTTGTGGATTGACTTATCCATTATTATTTTTATATAGGTCTTGCCTTCACTGAGAAAATTTCTTAATATGATGTAATTACGGAAGGGGTTCTTTGATTTACTTTAAGACTAAAAGTTCCTATAAACATAGGTCTGCAAACGCTTTGTTAGCGTTACAGATCTATAGGGTGTTACAATTTCAAGATTTGTTCTTTATATCCTGCATTTGGGAATTTGTTGATGGGGGACCATTGCCTTATTCTAGCTGCGTCTCGGAGAATTATCCGAACAATTGCAAATATTCACAAATTGGATTCTTGTCGAGGATTCTTCAGAACACTAAAATTCTCCCTCTAACGGGAAGGTATATACATTGCGTTTCAGATAAGAGGGGCACCTCAATATTTCTATTATTTGGCGAGATACAAAAAATTTGTCAAAAATAATTTTATGGGACATTATGATGTATCTGATTCACACTTCCGGTTTAACCGGAAATCAATGCAACTTTTGTTATTTGAAATGAGCAATCAATTTACTGTAGGACAACATAAGAAATGCATATGGTTGATATAAAATAAAAATCAATTTTCAGTAGTTAGCTAAACGAAAGTCAAATTTTTAAAATAGTCCAGTAGGCTTTGACTTTATTTGGATAATCTCTTGTTTTTATTAGTTTTGACAGTTCGCATTTGAAATTATATCTTGTGTTTGCATATGTTTATAAATTAAAGGTTTAAATGGTAAAGTGTACAGTGTAAAATTGTTATAAATCTTCGATAAATGTAATTAATAATCTCGGTTAGAGGTACAGTGTAGATTAAATGGGGGCAATATTGCCCCTCTTTGAGGGTAAAAAAACACATTTGAAATGTTTGAAAAATAAATGAGATATCACCGAAAAACTTAAAATGTCAAATTTCGTTTTAAGGTTTTCAGATGCGTTATATTACCTAACATTTGTATAAGATGAGTATTACCACAAATTCCGAAAATTCACAGGTATTCTAAAAAATTCCCGAATATTAGATGCATTTGAAATCATAAATCAAATACAGGGGGTATTCAAAGGAGTAATGGCATCAATGAGCAGAAGAACGGATACATGTATAGAGTTGGAGGAGGTCACTTTCAACAAAAATGATTGCTACAAAAACTGGGTCATCACAGCGTTAGTAAAAGTTCGGGAAGAATAATGATTTTCTTATAGACATTGCGTCTCTACCTAGGTCCTTCACTCAACGCCAAAAAGTTTCCAAACAAACCAAGAAATCAAATTCTTATATTACAATCTACAAGTGGCGCACAGAAAAAAAGTTCAGGGGTAGAAAATGGAACATGGCTGCTGAAAAAACAATACCCTGTAGATTCTCACTACCATTGATCAATCTCATTCCAAATTTGAGCACAATATCTCAACAACTACAGGATTTAAAGAAAAAACTTAAAAATCCTGGAAATATTAACACCCTATGTTTACATGAACTTTTTTAGTCATAAATTAAGGCAAATAGTCCCTTCCGTCTATACATCATATTTAGGAACACCCTGTACAGAGGGTTTCCTAGATAGAGCGGTATGGCGTGGGTAATTTTCTCATTATTGTTTTTTATGCTGATTATTGATTAATTCCATTTAGAAGGTTTTAAGATAAAAGTATGATTAGAAGTAATCTAAAAAAAATGAAAACCACAGATTTGAGGAAAATTAGTTTAATATGAAAGTTCCTTATTTCGATAAGACAAAACTCAAAAATTGGGTCGAAATGAAAGTCAAGATTACAGTAGGATATTGGCACGAATAGCCACTTTCTTTTATTCAATATACTGAAACTTTGATAGGATTAAGGGGAATCTCTTATAAGTGGTGTATAAAAAATACTAGTCAAAACCAATATTTGCATTTTAATCAAGTGTGCTATTTATTTTTAAAAAGTTTTTAGATGGATGGGGGGGGGGGTAGTTTTAATGTGAGGGTGGCAGAGCTGAAATAAAATTACAATATTGCTGAAAAAAAAATTAAAGATGAAATACATATTTTTGTAGTTAGTTTTATCTAATAATTATTAACATAGTTAAAAATTTGCAACTTCGATGATTAAACCTCAGATTAAACATGCAATGCCTGTGGAATAGTTGTGTAATGAGTGCAATATGATTTGGGTAGTAAATGTCATTTTTGACATAAAAATGAAAATATGTCATAAACGGAAAGGTGTATAGAATTTTGGTAGAACATAAAAATAAAATAATATATAGGGTGTTGCATTTAAGATAACCAAGGTGGGCGTGAACTTCTGATATACCAGTTTCCATATAAAATTCGTCATGGGACACCCTGTATAAAATTAAAATTACGACAGCTACGAAAGCATTTAGCGATCGCTTTTCATTATACTTACGGGTCTAAAATTGGAAGAAGCTGCATTCAGAGGAACGGGCATACCGGCAGGTAAAGTCAAATTTGGTGCAGACGGCGATGGGAACGAACTCGAAGCGGTGGGATATGGTGCGGTCATCCCAGGATTATAAGGAGAACTTTTCATCGGGTACGGTTGTCCTTTTGGTGGTAAATTGTGTACCACTTCGGAATACGACGGCGGTTGCGAATGATCTGGGCCATTTACAATTTCGAAATCATTATCCGGGGGTCTGCGTATAACGGGCACGGGGCCCGGCCTTGGAAGGGTGGGTAGGCTATTCTGAGATCCGTACGTTATATTGGCTATTGTCACATCGCCTTCAATTGTTAAGTAAGATATGGAGTCGTAATGAATTCTTTGCGGAAAGTCATAGAATAGTTGGTCGTTTATGACAATCTAAAAATCGTAATACACGACACGCTCTGTATAAGATTAATTTACCTTGTATTTGTTAAAATCGCACATGATAAGTATTTCAAATTGTTCTGCGCGTTTCACCGGCTGCGTATTTCCATGCACCACTTCGCCCCAAATGCCGTTTTGTAAGGAATTCATGGCTATGAATCCGTCGAGAAATCGCACAGAAAGATGCATGGCAATATCGTCCCTCGGTCGCGTTTCCGGACCACATTGTAGGTTAATGTCAAACCTGTAGGCTATACCCGGTACTGCACCCTGAATTCGAATTATTTTACCAGGGGTAAATCTACCGGCGATTACACCCACGTATGGTATACTCTGGAACAATCTTTGATTTTATCGAAATTAAATGAAATTTATAATTACTGGGTCTCTAATCGGTTCTTCCATAGCTCCCAGGGCTCCCGCTCTTATTGTTATTTTCAGTTAAGACAGAAATGAGGAGCGACACGCTATTTTAATTTATCGCACAAGGAGTTAAAACAAGAATGACTCATTTGACGGCGGTTGCGACTTGAGAGACAAAATTAAATGGGAAACAGAAGCGTCAGCGTCCCGAGAACTACGGTGGCCTTGATTTGGTTACATAGGATCATGGATCATGAACCTTATCTGCAAAACCTTGCAAAAAGTTATCAGAAAGATAAATTAGAATAAATGAATTTCCCAATTCCCAAGGCTGCTCTTAATGTCTCCCCTCCTATCTTTTTCCAAACATACGTAAACAGCTGATATATAGGCAGTGGCGGCACAGAATAATTAGTATACTAATAATAATAATATATAATTAATATAATATAAATTGACATACCATACTAATACAGATGGGCATAATTTATTTATACTTTCATTTAGATTTCCACGAGGTTTATTATTATTAGACATTATTTCTGGTATCACTTGTGTGTGTTTAGTTTATTTATTTAGTTGCCTAAATAAATAAACTAAAAACACACGAGTGATACCAGAAATAATGTCTAATAATAATTTATTTATATTTACAAAAAATAGTATGTAGTTTTATTTAACAACCTAAAAAACAGAAAATTCAAAATTGATACATGTTTTTTTATTATTATTTTCTTTTGTCGGTTTTGTTCAATTGTCATTACTTAAATATCAAAAGAGGGGTCCCTCAGGGATCCATATTAGGGCCTTTACTGTATTTAATTTACACACATGCTATCCCTTCTGTTCTAAAAGATTGCCAATATCACCTATATGCTGACGATACTCAGATATATTTTTCGTTTTTTCCAAGAGACATAGTGAAGGCGTGTGAAACTGTAAATAGTGACCTACAAAACATTTTTGAAACATCTACAAACCATTGCCTCAACATAAACATGAGAAAATCAGTTGTTATGTTATTTGCAAATTCTAGTGATTTGGAGATTTTGTCTGCTCAAACGAATATATATGTAGGTGGTCATAAACTAGTAATTCAAAGATCTGCTAAGAATCTCGGTGTAATCATAGATAGTGAACTGCGATTCACTCAGCAAATATCAAAAAACATCCAACGGGGTTATGCTGCTTTAAAAGCTATTTATATTAATCGCGATATTTTAAATATAAAGACTAAAGTGGTACTGTGCGAATCTTTGGTCCTGTCGAGCTTAGATTATTGTGATGTTGTGTATGGTCCGTCATTAAAAAGCATAGAAATAAAAAAATTCAAATCTTGCAAAATGCTTGTTTAAGATTAATTTTTGGAATCAGGAAATACAGTCACATTTCGCATACGTTGGAAACGGTGAAATGGTTAAGCATGAATGATCGCAGGATATTCCATGCTGCTTGTTTGTATCACAAAATTATAAAAGATGCTTGTCCAGCATACTTATATAAAAAAATAACTTTCAGGACAGATGTACATCATCTGAATTTACGTTACAGAGGAATATTAACTTCTCCGTCGCACAAACATGAATTTTTCAAGAGATCCTTTAGTTACCAAATTGCACATCTGTATAACAAGATACCATCTGATTTTAAAACATTAAGCCAAGTTAATTTTAAAAAAAAGGCTGAGAATGCATTTCTTATATAAAAATTAATTTTTATACACTTAATTGCTCCCTTCAGTTGAATCTTTGCTTGTTTTCGTGTCCCATTAATTCCAATAATATACCTACCTATATATGTATATAAATAATTATGTACCTTAGTGTTCACTGGAGATATTCTTTCTTTAATTTTTTACATGTTTATGTTTTATCTGTGGCCATATCAATATTAATTTCTATATGTTATATCGGGTTAGGTGGAAGAGCAGCACATGGCATACATGTCATTGCTGAACCTCGCCCATTCCTAGTGAATAAAAGCATTTATTATTATTATTATTGTTATTCCCAAATGTATGTTAATCATACGTTTCACATCATCATTATATGGTTAGTTTCATTCCACTTTGTTGTTTGGTTAATTAAATTGGAGGGGTTAAGTGAAAGAGCAGATGTGTGGTCATGTACCCCATCTGAACTGTGCCCCATTGGATTGTGTCAAAATTATATCTTTTCTTTTCCTTCTATTATGTTTTATATATTTTATCCACTATCCAATAAAAGACAATTTATTATTATTATTATTGATACTGTGCCCACCGTCAAAAATGAACTAAATGCTCAATGCTGGCTCTAGAAAACCGACTACTTTTTATTGAAAGATTAGCCTATTTAACCAATTCATAATCCATAATATTACAATGATAATATATAAAACCTATACATTTAACCCCAACTTTAAACCATGTAATAAGAATAATTAATTTTAATCACTTGAACTGCTGCTGCTGCTGCTCTTATGCTTCGACTTGTGCTTGTGCTTCTTATGCTTGTGCATTTTCGAAACACCATAAGCTCCAACAGCGGTCGCACCCGCGATCGGAATTCCCATTTTCATCATTTTCTTTAATTCCTTCTTTTTAAGTTTCTTTTGGTGGTGGGAATCGAGCGGCCCTGCAAGTCCAGGTGGCGGTAGATACCCGTGTTGCGGGTGCAAACCCGGTACTGGCATTTGAGGTACTCCACTCGATGGGTAGGGTATGGGTTGACCTGCATGATATTGCGGTTGCGGTATGGGTTGACCTGCATGATATTGCGGTATTGGGTGACCTGTATGATGCTGAGGTTGCGGTATGGGGTGGCCCATTGGCTGCGGTGGCGGGTTCGAGTGGTACGGCGGTGGCGGCCCAAAGTTTTGCGGATGGGGAAGGTTGGGATATATTGAACCTGACGCAGGATAAACCGGTGGAGGTTGTCCTGGAGGGGGATGCATGCCATACTGGTTTGGCGGAGGGTGAGACTAAAATTGAGATTGGTCAATAACTAAATCCGGTTGCGTATGTGAATCATTTGACATACTTTCTTATTATTGAAATATGGTACGCCATTGCTTTTGGCTTATAGCAAAAATTGTTTTTTAGATTTAGAATCATGAGAACTTACCATTTTTAAAGTAGCAGACACTGATAATTTCACTGCTCGTCTTCAATTAAACGAAATATAAGTAGGTAAACGTAAGTAGGTAGATATGACTCATTTTAGAAATCTATTCAATTAAATTATCTACAATAAATAAAAGTACCATACATAAACCAGTGGCGTATCATCACTACGTTAGCTGGGTACTTACGGGCCAGGAGGAATTGCATAGGTTACGGGCCATTAAAGTATTAGTGTAATGAGCCTTGAGGGGGGGGGGGGGGAGCAACCAAACATTTTTTGCTTCATTTTAAAGTATTCCTTTCTCGAAAATCAATTACCTAGAATACAGTTTTTTTAAAATTGCAGCTGACAGTGGCGTATTTAAGGGGGGGCAGTGGGGGCTAATACCCCCCCCCCCTAGTCTCCCACTACCCTACCCTCACGTTCCTCACGTCTGCGATAACGTCGCCAGCGCACGAATGCTTAACTGCAGCCAAGATATTTAATAAACTTTTTCAAGAAGCAACTTCAATCGCTGCTGACATATTCAATTGTGAATTACAAAAACCAAGAATTGCTAAGAGGCAAACTCACAGGGTTAATATTCACACAGAAACTGTGGAAGAGTATTACAGAGTGAGTGTTTTTAATCCTTTTGTTGACACTGTAATAATGCAACTGTCGGAAAGATTTCTTAAGCACAAACAGATTTTGTCTGCTTTTGAATGCCTTATATTCCTTCCAAAGAAAAATATCAAGATTCTGCTAAACAACTCAAGAAGTTTCAAGATTTAACTGAGTTTCTACTTGGATAACTTAAATGATGTTAGTTGGGCAGTCCTGGAAGCAGAGTTCAATGAATGGATGGATGGATGCGAAATTTTGAAGAAACCGCCGAGTATCCAAAATCAGCAATAGAAACCCTTGAAATATGCTACGCTACAATTTTTAAAAATATTCACACATTGCTCCTAATTCTTTGTACATTACCCGTTAGTACTGCTACAAATGAAAGAATGTTCTCGACTTTAAAAGATTTAAAAACATATTTGCGCAATACTTGACGCTAAGATCGGCTCAATGGACTCGCCCTGCTATATGTGTATTTACATATCGATATTACACCCGATGAAGTACTCGATGAACTCCAGAAGAAAGGAAGAAGGATGGATTTTGTAAATTTTTTTTCAATTAAAATTTAAATTGATTTATTGATACCAGATACCTCTCCATGTATGCAATACGTAAGTATAATATACGTATATGTTTCTTCATTTTTCAAACTTAGTACCTCATGACCCCCCTAGAAAAGCATTCTAAATACGCCACTGGCAGCTGATAATTAAAAGTAACAAAATATACAAATGAGTTGCCTATAATTGCGTTTCAGGACTTTCAAAATACGACAAAAAATGATAAATTCATTGTAAAACACTTAAATAAAAAGAGAATTTTTTAATAACAACCTAAACATCGACCCCAATGAGATAAACGTGTTAATAATTTATTAATAGTGCAAGAAACGAAATACAGAACATACTTATAAATTTCCAACGGGCCAATATGACCTACAGGCCAGGTGGCAATCGCCATGCCATCCGCCCCCCCCCCCGGGCCAGTCCACCCCTTACTGTGGGGGTCTGGGGTATATGGTATACCTCTCAGGTAAAAGAAGACTGTGTAAAACCCTCATGATACTGAAGACCTTGAACATTTTGGGGGAAAACGTAGCTTTGGGGGGTGTGGAATACCCCTCAGAAAAAAGAAATTGATGGCCCTTCCTAAAGGATGTTCCTAAGAACTTACAGGATAGCAAACTTGTTTCCGGGAAAACATAGTAGTCCGGGGGTATGGGATACCTCCTAGGTAAGGAAGTCTGTGTGGTCCTTTCCCCAAAAAAACCCTCATGAAGATACTGAGGACTTTGAACATTTTAAGGAAAACGTACGTAGCTTTGGGGGGTATGGAAAAACCATCAGAAAAAAGAAAAAGATGGCTCTTCCTAAATGATGATGCCAAGATCTTAGAGGTATACTAAACGTGTTCTGGGGAAAACGTACTCCGGGGGTAAGGGAATTCCGCAAACAAACCATCATGAAGATACTGATGGGGATCTTGAACACTTTAGCGAAATGTAGCTTTGAGGGTTATGGAATACCCCTCAGAAAAAAGAAATTAATGGTTCTTCCTCAAGGATAAAGGATGATCCTGCGAACTTGGAGGATAGCTTTCTAAAGGAGGATAGTAAACATGTTCTGGGGAAAACGTACTCCTTGGGAAATACCCCCCCCCCCAAGTATGAAAAGAAGACACTCGTCCTTTCCCAAAAAACCTTCATGAAAATACTGAGGACCTTGGAATATTTTGGGGAAAAGAAATTGATGGGTCTCCCTAAATGATAATCCCGAAAATTTAGAGGATAGCAATAAACGTTTTCCTTCAGGGGGTTCTTCAGTTCTTCGGGGAAAACATACTACTCCAGAGGGCTGGGGAGTATATGGAATACCTCTACCGTAAGGAAGACTCTATGGTCATTTCCCAAAAAACCGTCATGAAGATACTGAGGACCAGGAAGACCTTGAATATTTTGAGAAAACCCACCAGAAAAAAGAAATTGATTGCTGTTTAGCATGATCCTCAGAACTTATAGATTTTATTCATCTTTCTTCGTGCTTCTTCACCTCCTTTACTACTGTGTCACGTCTCATCCTTACTCTTTAGGTCTGTTTTACATTTGCTGTCCATTTCCCAGAAACATCTGCCCACCTTCTGACTAGGGCTTTGTCATGTCGTAGATCTATAGACCACTCTTTTTATTCAAAAGGAGCGGACTAATCAGATATAGCAACCCTGTAAGAATGAAATTCCCTAGACAGTAGGTAGAGCATATGAATATGTCTATAGACAAACCACTTGTCTATGGTGCAATGGTGTTGCATACCCACAAGTCAAATAAAAACTCCCTAAATTCTAAATTATTTATTTATTATTCAAACTTCCCTAGTAACCCTGCACAACCCCTAAGCACAAATCAAATATCCAGAACAGAAATGGCCCACAAATCCTGTTTTGTGCACAAATATCTGCAGTGACTGATTTAATTGATAGGTATCTTCAATATTTATTAGAAAAGTGATAAATAAGTGATGGCTTAAATATTTTGGAAAATATTTCAATCATGGAACAACCAATTATAGATCCGGTTCGTAATTCTTAGTATTACACAATGTTTAAACGACGGTTTTTAGCCCATACCCCTAGTCGGTCCTATTGGAGGTAGATTTAGCCCTGGCAAGGTTATTCGTATAAAAGGTGCTGTCCCGTCAATAGCAAATAGATTTGATATAAACCTACAATGCGGTCCACAGACTGCACCGAGAGACGACATCGTGCTCCAGATTGCTGTACGAATACTCGACGGTTTCATAGCCCTGAATTCCTTGCAAAACGGGATATGGGACGACGAATTAAAAGGTCACACACAGCCGATCAAGCGGGCAGATCACTTCGAGATGGTCATCGTGTGCGACTTCAATAAGTTTATGGTAATTTTTGTCTTGTTAGTGATTTCGTAACTCGGTGGTGCTTGCAGGTTTCAATAAACGATCAATTAGTTTGCGATTATCCGCAAAGAATCCATTATGATCGTATTACGCATTTAGTGATCGAGGGTGAGGTGACGGTAGCCGAAATATCCGACGGGTCGCAAGCATCCGGGAAACCTCCCTCGTATTCGGAGGTTGTAAATGTGCCTCCCTACCCCCAAGATTTGTCTGCCACATCACCACCCACTCATAATTCGGCTACAGTGACAGTCACATCGGATTCGTCCCCGACTGCACCAGAATTGATTCCACTGACTGGTGCAGAACTTAATGCGCCACTATCTAAGCCGGTACGTAAGTCATAAAGGGGTTGGTTGCATAGAACTGATCTATCCACTAAAAATAAAATATTCTGGAAGTCGAATTGTGCAGCCACCCTTAAGCCTGGTTGGTTGATAACCATCCACTTCAATCGATCCTTTAGCCAATCAACAAACAGTACCTAAAGTTCAATTTCTTCAACTTTTATGTTGGTTGATTGACTAACAGATCAAAGGAAATTCCATTGTTTCATTGGTAACTGTCATGAGGCCATCAAGGATGTCGATGACGCAAGGTCAAACTGACATTTGGAAGTGATGCTTCCACTGTACAAGTACATGACCACATAATTATGTACTTGATGTAATCAATTGATATTTAACCTGCCTGTGCAGAAACTGAACCGATAACCCCTGTGGTTTCCATTTCTTTAATTTGGTGGAAATAAACACATTATTATTATTATTATATATAGAGTGGTCCATATGTATGGAATAATTGCATTGATAAATTTTATTCATAATTTGACAATTTATAGTATGAAAATATCCCCCCCCCCCTCTCGATTTTTTTAATCCATCAATTACCAATGAAACAAAACAGAATTATAAAAATTTATTTTTTGATTTTGTTCTGTTTGTCACGGAGAAAGACAATGGAAACATTTGAAAGTGAGAGGCTAAAAGTTATTCATAATTTACAGGTGGAAGATATACTTTCGGGAAATTATGACTGGAATTATTATCGTTGGACATTTTGCAAAGTTAACTAAAGCACGGGACATGAGAATCGAGTTAGTCGTTATCACTGTGGTAGAAGTAACGATAATAGTTACATCGCAATTGGCATTATAAAGGTTTATTTTTTTATTTTTTTTTTTAATGTCTACAAGCAGATGAGGGCAGAGTTGACATCTGTGAAGTTACTAAATTACAAAAAACAAAATTAAATTGTTTGTTTATTATTTGTTTACCTATAGTTCCGTCGTTTGTTTGCAATTGCAGTACATTTTACTTAATTTTCAAAATGAGCAGTAGGTACAGCTTCACTGGACTGTCCAACCTCTAAATATTGACAGTATTACCGTTTGTTTATTCAATTATAGCTTTTGTTTACCACCATAAATCCAATTTTTATAAATTTCAAAGTGGGCGGAGCTTCACATATAGGTACATTAGGTAGGTACTACCCAATCATTACAAATTGAACATATCATCATTTCATTTGTATCGAATATTTATTGTTTTTTTTCTTATTTGTTAATTGAATGCGTTCACTGAAAGTAAATATTTGACAAGTGCTTACGTATCAGTTGTTTCTCATGCACACTACCACGCCTACTTAGGTTTTATATATACGTCCTCTGTTTCTTTTGCTTTTCACCCCTTTAGTAGGATATTTTGGTTTGAGACTTTCCATAGTCACTGGGATTGTAGTTCTAAATCGTGCGAAGCATTGCATTAACCTCTGATTATCTTGAAAATGAAATGTCACCACAAAAATAGTGCACCTCTGATAACCTTGAAACTAGAATATTACACTGCTTGGAGGTAATTAAACTTTGATGACCTTGAAAATAAAAATGGATGACATTAAACTATGGTATCCTTGACCTTTGTTGACCTTGAAAATTACACCGCAAAAATGGATGTCATTAAAATGAAATGAGGCCACCTTGAAAATGAAATAGATAACAAAAATGAGGAACTTTGATGACCTTGAAAATAAAAAATAATTAAAAAACCTTTGTTGACCTTGAAAATAGAATATTACACCACAAAAATGTAGGTTATTTAACTTGAAAATAAAAATAGATGGCATTACAAATGTAGTCAATGATCTCTAATGACCTTGGGGGTAAAAATGTGGTACTGCAAAAATGGGGTGACCGTTGGTAACCTTGAAAGTAAAATATAACAGAAAAATGATGCCTTGACCTACTTCCCAAGCATGCCACGTGGCATGCAACTTTCACTTTGACCTATGTACTTTCCAAAGTCAACACCAGGTGGCTAGCGACCTTGAACTGAGTCAGGGTAGGCCTTATATGATTACTGTGGCTGGAAGAGAAGCTTGAAAGGGTAATACGGTCAATGTTTAGAGGTTGGGCAGTATAAGTGCAGTTGTACTGCCCATTTTGAAAATTTGGTAAAATGTACTGCAGTTGCAACCGAACGACAGAACTAAAACAAACAATTGAAATTTGTTTTTTGCAATGTAACTTCACAGTTGCGCAGAGTTGCATGTTGTGTTCGTTTAAGTATAATTTGGATGTGCTTTAGGGAACAAATGATCCGTTATCACTTTGCAGTACAGAATTTGATTTGGATTGACACAGTTTTAATCCTCTGCCTCCTCGTGAATTATTAAGTCTGTCTTTAACACGATTTTTGTTTTTTTCAGGATAAAAAATCAGAGCCGATGGGAAGAGTTGGAATATTTGTTTTTTTTCTTGTTAACATCATTCTGGGCATTCTTCTACTCACATGGGTTATGTTTAATGCATAAACTGCTTTCAGAATTAGGCAAGCGGTTTTTGTTAATTCCACCTTGGGTAAGCTATTTTGTTTCAGTTTCATTTAAAAAATGAATTGAAAATTTTGAAGTCTGATTGTGAGTCAGAAAAGCTAGCGCGCAGAATCATACCTGATCAGTGATCACAGTGGCAGTGCGCGTCCGTTATGCCGCCACTGGTAAAAAAGCCTGCAGTTGGGTGTAATATTCACACAACTAATTTTTTGTACAATGTTTCTGTAACCTTTTATTTATGAGTGAGAAGAAGAAAACACTTCCATCCTGCCAGAGTTAACTGTGTAGGTAGTCTTAGCAAAACAAAAGTAAATGCATTCATACGAATTTTATAATCGCTATATGCTTCTACCTTATATAATATTGTAAGCAATAATGCTTGTGGTAATAGTAAAAGTACCATGTTAATGAAGTCGCGTGTGATCCATCACCCAAAACGCTCTTTAACTGACATCTTTTTAATACACCATAATAAATAAATTGAGAACGTGTCACCCGTCACTCAAAGACTATGATCTTTGCGTCATTACAACTGAAAAACGACATTTTGGTTTGTGAGCCATGAGATCCATACATTTTGTGCGATGAGTCATACACAACTTACTTTTAATTAAAGTATAGGTATCGCTAGCTTACAATTGACAACCATTTATAATACGCATTTTTTGCCTTTCAAATGACATGCCGAGATCTTCAGATTTGAATGCAACTGACCCTGTTGCTGGTCCTACACATTACAGTTGCCATTCGGCTTTGCACGATCGCCAAGAAGGTTTCTATTGAAATGTAAATGTATCGGGCTTCTACTTTCATACGCACAGATAGCTAACAATATGCTTCCTTTATATATGATAATGATATAATAACCTCCTCCACCTTTGTTTCATTCAATATCAAAAATTGATTTGGTTGCATTTCAAAAACATCGCTATTGCACCTTTCAATACTTATCATTTGACAATATTGCATCTATTTGCTTTGGACACCAGCAGTTATCAGTTTTGTTTAGCGTAGGCTTCAAGTTTTTAATTGCGCTTCAAAATGCATCTATTCCACAACCAGGAGATCAATCTCGTTTCGAATCCCAGTTCGAGACCTAGTGTTCCATTATCTGTGGTCTTCCCCGATCTTGCATGCCATTGATAAATATTCTCGCAGTTTACTATCGCATAAACCAAAGTTAAAGCTACTGGCAACCGTATTGCAGCCAGCAACAATGTTAAATCATGTGGTTTGCCTTACCGTTCCAAATAATTTTGTTTGCAGCGTTCACATCAAACTGTAAGCAAACTGTACTAAATTCGGCAGCCTAGTTATAGTATCTATTTTAATAGAAAACTAGTTTTACACTTCCAATTTTAGGTAGGTATAGGATGTTAAATGACTACCAACAAAAATTTAGCTGTAATCTAATTATAGCTCTCTATATACAATAGAAGATAAATGATTGTAGTATATCATTCATAAATCATGAAATTTGTGCCTTCCATTTGCACTGTGTGTTCCATTGAGGGATGCTGCACTGCTTACTAAAAAACTATGTAAGTACACATAGATTTTGCGATTTGTTTTTAACTTATGGTTGCACCGTTTAAAATTTCTATTGTGATTGCTCAATTTGCTAGATATTTGTGTCACAGCACAAAATAGCCTACCTTTCTCATTGTAATGACTGTGTTTATCTTTATATTGTTATAATAAATTGTTTTTGCACGAGACATTTTATAATACCTACAATATGTTTGATCTTTTTGAGTTTTCCACCAGTACTGAATCCTTTGTTTGATCTTCCTATCAAGATTTCCGTCTGCTGTGACATATATTTAAAGTCCCGTGTCCTCGTCGATCACTCCACCTCTCTGATGGCTTTTCCTTCCCTTTCCACCACATCGCTTCTTTCTACTAATTTTATTCCTGTATTTCTGGTATTTTTGTCAACTCCCGACTTCATATCCATCACCAGGTTAAATAGATATGTTTCATAGATGGTTCGTGTTTAGTGGGTAGGTCCCACAATATGTTAATTATATAGCGAATATTCCAGACCGACATCGGAGCGCCATCAAGTCGATAAGGGATAGTCACTGGCAATAAGCAATGAAAGCGAGTGTGATTTTTTGTCTCTCCAAACGAACTCATCGCCTTTTCCCTCCGACTTTGTCTTAGTACTATATAAACTGTTTGCGTCACCTCGGAGAGCACGAACATTTGGTATCTTGTTTTTAATGGCGAGGATTAATTAAAAAGTATCGTTCCGTAAACGATGTTGTTTAATGCAGATCGTAATTTTTTCCAATACCTACTTAATCCCTCATTTTTGTTTTTTTATGAACAATTCATGGAAAAATTGATTTAAATCGGCCGGTATTGGAAAAAATAGCATAAGCAACACTGGATTAAACTAGTTTTTGTTCCCTTAAGAATTTAAACCATTCTCTTAGGAACAAAAGCTATTTTTAATCCCTTGTTACTTAATATAGGTACTATTTACATTCATTGATTTATAATGTATTTGTGTTGTATACAACATTTTATAATTTTTGTTTTTGTTTTTGAAGTTAACTTGATTTAACCACAATGCAGAATCATGTGTTTTATACAGTTAACTTTTATTATTAACGAGCTCCTAGCGAGTTTATAATTTTGTTGTGTCTGTCCGTCCGTTAGCACGATAACTCATAAACGAATGGACCGATTACGATGAAATTTTGCAGGTGGATTCTTTATCAAATTTGTAGATCGGAGTTCGTGAATTGGCAATGTAGCCCAAAAAATAAAGTAGGCCCTTTTGACATCTCCGTTAGTTATGAACCGAATTGCATGAAATTCGATATGCGCATAGCTTTAGCCATATAAAACACAATTCCAAAAGTTGAACCTAATCGATCAGCATTCACAGTGCCCTTTGCGCATCTCGACCATTTACAGACCGAATTGCAAACTTTCTTATTTATGAAGGTATTTAAATGAAATTTGATACATAGCCACTTGGAATAAAAGTAAATTTAACGCCAGTTTCAAAATTTGGTTTAGCGCATGCGCAGTGCCAACTTTCTGATTTATAGGGGGATTTAAATGAAATTTGGTACATAACCACTTGAAATAAAAGAAAATTTAACATCAGTTTCAAAATTTGGTTTTGCGCATGCGCAGCTTATTTATGGAGGCATTCAAATGAAATTTCATACATATACCTACACTTTAAATAAAAGCAAAACTAACATCAGGTTTAAAATTTGGTTTTGCACATGCTATAGCCATACCCAGGAGCTCGTTTGCTATATTTGTTTAATTTTTATTTGAAATCGTTTTCATTTTTGGTCTAAATGTTGGCTGAATTTTATTAAATAATCTTGGTCCCAAGTTAAATTTATATTTTCGATCATTAATTAAAATAGGTAGTGGAAATTTTCGAATTGTTAGATGTTTGATATGTGTGTATAGACTCTACGGACATTTTTGCCGTGAATGAGACAGCCACGTGAGTGGTAAATAATTGTAACGACACCTAATGCTGGGACTGTTCGCAACTATAGGCAAGTAACAAGGGTTTTATTGTACGAAAGATAAGTCACCTTGTTCTTTACTTGCTTGTACTCCACCAGCTCTTTGTTTTGCCATTTAATGAAACAAATTATATCTTGCACGTGATATTTTCACTACTGTCCAACCGAAATTAATGACAAAATAACTGATAACTGAAATTCGAATTTTTGCGATTCAGATTAACAGTGAGACCTCTGCTGAGACCGCATTGTAATTAATATTGGTGGGATAAGACTGACATTTTGTTTATTTACCAAAAGTAATCAATATTGTAGTTTTTATGGTTGTGAAGGTAATACACTTGTAAAAATTTCATTTGCAATCAGTGTAATTATACACTCTAAAGAACAAGGATAGTTTAAAACGTCACATTTCATCACGTTATTTTCAAGGATTTTAAATGTGATCGGTGAAATTATGCATCTCAAGAATAATTTAAAAAATTGTCGTCTAACGCATAATATTTCCAAAGTCTTTAATTGTGAACAGTGCAATTATACACAAAAAATAGGAGATATGTCATTCTTTGACACACTCCGCTTTGAATAACATTCTCTATCAAAGGCCTTTCAGGTAGGATAGGATTAAGGGGTTATATTTTTCAAGTCTCAAATACTTGCAAGAATAACCACGCCATTTCAAATTTAAGCAGAACGTGGTCAGTTTTTAGAATAGCCATTTTTAAACGTTATCGGGTTCGTTTTATTACCGTAGTGTGACGGTAGCGTAGAACCTGGGGGGTTAGTACACTACAACCTGAAACCCAAAGTGACTTTCATCATCTTACTCATTGTAATTTTTTTCTCTAGTGACGTAAAAATCCAATATGGCGTCCTGTTAAAATAAGGAAGTTGATGTCTATCTCGAAAACCGCCATTTTGGAAAAAAATGTTCTACGTCCATTGAATTTATTCCACCGAATTTGGAAACTTTTCGATAGCTCTCTTTATTACTAAAATATTTGAACTTTTTAAAAATGAGGATTTTAACTTTTTTCCAAAAATCTACGAAACGAATTATTTTTTTCAAAATATCACATCGAAATATCCATCAGCATCAAACACTACACAACTTTGTCAATTTACCGAATCTGTAAGTATAATATAATAACAAAGATAGCCATTGTTATCCTACTCAATGTAAGACACCCTGTATATGGAGTAATTCTTTTTTCGGCGAGATCTACGAACACCGCATATTTTGAGTTCAAATGTTAGCCTTGTTCCCATTTCTTTATTTTAGTGTTCATGCGCAAAGGGAGCATGATGGAGTTTTCTCCTCCAGAACGTTTGATAAGATTTTAATGTTGTCTCATATTTATGGGAACAAATATAATAAAAATCATTAAAGAAACAATATTTTTCAAAATATACCCGGGGTTTTAAATGCTTTGTTTTTTGCACCCAAAGGTCCCAAAGGAAACTACTACCTAATTTTATTTACATACCACTATATGAATGTTTTATTTGTTAACTGCCTACAACCATTTCGATAACCTCTCAAAGTATCGCAAGTAACATGGACGCACGTTTAATGCAAGTATTATAATTGTGGATCTGTGCCCATGCCTCACTGATATGCGCCTATATTTCAGACATATATCCTGGAACAGTGTAACATGTACCCAAATAGTGAATTTTGGGGACGTCTGTTAAGTAACAAGATTTAGCGTCGTGGCCTACGTGTTATTTGCGACGCAGAATTTTTGGACGTTTGAACAGTGGGAACGGCAATGAAGTGGAGTGTCTGAATTAGAACATTTCCCTATACCAATAGAATGCGCTTTTGAGGTTACGATGACACTAAAAAAATGTTTCTTTTGTTTAATATTCAGCATAACTAACAGCGACTACTTTTGAAAGTGGGCATTTATCAAATTTCAAAAAATACATAGCGTAATCCAGTAAAGAATAAGGAAATTAGTGCGCAGTACAGGTTGAAACGGGTGCTTTAACTACAATTTTTTGGGAACAATGGAGCACAACTTTAGTCAAGTGCATCAAAAGTGCGTAATTGTGTTGCATGCATCCCCTCTGCCATCTTTGAATGTGTTTGTTCCATGAATGGTGTACTATTAGTGCAAATTAAACCCATAACCCATAGAAACTAAACTATTAGAAGACATTAGTGGGTATTTAAAGCGCTCAGATTCGATTTTTATTGGCAAAATACACAATTTTCTGTTATATATTGACGACTAGAACATTTCAAGATTTTAATAAATAGTGCTGCTTTAATTTTTCTAAGCGCAGTTGTCCAAAATAAAAATGATACAGTGTGGCCTTTTACTGTCCCAAAGCTGCATTTCAAACTACAGCGTGTAACGTGTATGCAAAATAAAAGGCCAGAAAATGCACCCCTACGTACATATTAGTATATCCTACATACTTTTGTTACACCCTGTATAAGACCACTTTACCATTACTTACTCAGTAGTGAAACAGATTTACATTCGAGACTTGGGGCCACACCTATATTAGCAGGCACATTCTACACGTTTCAATAACCCCCCCTTTTTTTTACCACAGGACGGTGTTAACAATATATAAAGTTTTTAAATAGCTTAATAACAAGATTTAACTAATTCTGGAAGCTGTAAGCTGCTCGTCTAATTCTGTAATGGAAAAAAGTAGTATAAGTATATCACTTATAATACATTTCAGCTACACACCCTTCTAGACGGTTTGAATATTTCAGAAGCCAAATTTCCAAGTAGATCTCCCACAATGGAAGACTGCTGCCCTTGGGGTTGGGGGCCACCTTGGTAGGGAGGCTGTTGAGGGTGCATTGGTTGTTGGGGATGGCGCTAAATTTGTATTATCAGTTAAGTTGTATCTACTTCACAGCAGAAAAAAAATAAAGGAAATAATACATACATGCTGTTATTTTAGATTCAAACACCCAAAGCGTAAGGGGTGCCCGCCTTAAAATAAGTAAAATTGTGAAGCCACCATTGTTGGGGTTTATACAATGTTGCACCTACCGATTGTGCACCACCTCCGGCCAGTTCAGATGCCAAAGATCCAAGTATGTCTCCCATAATATTAGAGGACTGCTGCCCGTGAGATTGGGGTGCACCTTGGTAGTGGGGCTGCTGGGGTTGCATCGGTGGGTGTTGTTGAGTATTGTTCTAAATTTATTTGACTTGTACTTCATAGCAGAAAAAAATGAAGACTCAAACACCCAAAGCGTAATGTAATAGGGGGTGCTTGTATTCAAATTAGTAAAAGTCACCTACCGATTGTCCACCACCTCCAGATAAACCGCTTAGAAAATTTTCTGCAAGTCCACTAACTACCACACCTGCTATTGCAGCACCAGCATTTCCGAATATCGAATCAAGGCCAGATTCTTCTTGTTTATTTCCAGGCTGAAAGTATGTATATGTGCATCTTCTTATTTAAATACTGTAAACTTACAGGATGATGTGGGTAGTAACCCGGGCCTCCACCATAAGGTCCTTGGGGCGGTGGACCTTGCCCGTAATTACCGGGGGGAGGGGGCATATTGTAACCTGACGAAAAATCAGCATTGGGTGGAGGTTGTCTAGGTGGCGGTGGAGCAGGTAACGCACTCTCAATTGCGATTAGCTGAAGCTCAACCGTGCCCTCAATTTCCAAGTGGCTTACTCCGTTAAAGGGTATCCTATGCCGAAACTCGCAAAAATGTCGCCCATTCACTGCAATCTACAGCTAAATTACGAAACGACCCAAAAGCAAACCACAAAACCTTGTAACTACTCGGGTCACAAAGAATCAGTATTTCGAAAGACTGTCCGGAACCGATAGTTAAATTTCCGTCACCTTCCTCTTCGCCCCAGTCGTCGTCTTGCAGCGAATTCCTCGCTATGTACCCTTGAAGAAGTCGAACTGAAATATGAAGGGCAACATCGGAAGGTGGCCGACCACAGTGTAAGTTCACATTAAATTTGTCGGCGTTTTCGGGCACCGCTCCTTGAATTCTGATCATTGACCCGGGATCAAGGCCCCCCTTGATTGGACCCACGAAAGGCACGGCCTAAAATAAAAATTTGGGAAATTTGCAGTGGAAATACAAATTTTTACCGGATTATTTATCACTTGCACCATAATAGCACCTTGTTTAAATGGGAACGTAGGCAACTAACACGACACAACTGCTCGAACGACTGCAGTCTGCATTAAAAATCCTAACGCAATCTATAAAAACAAGGCTATAACTGAATTACAGGGTGTTCCAAATCAGTGCGTTACGCCACTATTAGCGCCAATGGACAGTTTGCATATCTAGTGATAACAATTCACTGTTGACTTGAGGTAGGTAATTACATTAATTAAGTTATTATACAGAGAAGTATCCATTGTATCCAGGCGATATTTACTTTTAGCGCATACTGTATGACGAAGCGTGCCAATTAAATTACAGATTGAATTCTTTAATCTTTATTTTTAGACTGTGTGGGTATGACGTAGTAAAGATTCTACTATGATTATCTCATAAATATTAATGTTTAAAATAATATGTTATTTACAAAAAATGTTACCTACTCCTACGATTTTGTTTGTGGATGCACACTTTGCTGTTTACACGTTTCATATTGCTCAAATTGCGCAAATGTATCAGTGGGGTAATAGGTATATGTCTTAAGGCTGACTTAGAAATTGATTACGGTCTCAATCAAAAGTTATAGACTAGAAACCATAATTGCGTAAGAAATTTCAAAGGGCTGTAACTTTTGATCTAGTAGCCCAATCTTGGAACTGTTTGAAATTATGGATTCTACAGGCCACATTCTATAAGGAAATTTTTTTTTCCGGCCGATCTGAGACAATTTTTTTTCCGGCAAAAAAAAGGCAGTGTACAACCTTCCTTTTTTACCAAAAATCGACTACACCACAATTTCTCGGGAAAACACTTTTTCGTATTAATTTTGGTGCGTAGAATCCAAAACGATTAGTACTTTTTCGATTAGGCGTCTCAATCAAAAGTTATAGACCAGAAACCAATTTCGTAAGAAATTTCAAAGGGCTGTAACTTTTGAACTAGTAGCCCAATCTTGGAACTGTTTGAAATACATGAAATCGCACATTTTCAACTGCCCTTTAGTTACGAAAAATTGAGTCGGACGTGACCATTAAGTGCATAAATTAAAATGTTCTTGTTAATGTGGTTACGTACGTGGCGACATCTCATTGGAACTGGTTCAACTATTAAAAGAAAATAATTAGTAAAAGTATAGGGATTACCAAAGAGATGGCGCAAATGTACCAATTGCATACACATCAAAAGACATATTCCAGCTCCTGGATCATTGAAGTACAATTGCTCTACAAATCCTACATGAAATTGCACATTTTCAACTGCCCTTTAAGGAAAATTGAGTCGGACGTGGCCATTAAGTGCATAAATTAAAAAATTCTTGTTAATGTAGTTACGTACGTGGCGACATCTCAATGAAATTTTGGTGCGTAGAATCCAAAACGATTCGTACTTTTTCGATTAGACTTCACAATCAAAAGTTATAGGTAGACTAGAAACCAATTTCGTAAGAAATTTCAAAGGGCTGTAACTTTTGATCTAGTAGCCCAATCTTGGAACTGTTTGAAATTATGGATTCTACAGGCCACATTCTATAAGAAATTTTTTTTCCGGGTCGATCTGAGACAATTTTTTTTCGGGGCTCAAAAAAAGGCAGTGTATAACCTTCCTTTTTTACCAAAAATCGACTGCACCAAAATTTCTCGGGAAAACACTTTTTTCTATTAATTTTGGTGCGTAGAATCCAAAACAATTCGTACTTTTTCGATCAGACTTCTCAATCAAAAGTTATAGACTAGAAACCAATTTCAAAAGAACATTCTAAGGGCTGCAACTTTTGAAATAGTAGCCCAATCTTGGAACTGTTTGAAATTATAGATTCTACAGGCCACATTCTATAAGGAAATTTTTTTTCCGGCCGATCTGAGACAATTTTTTTTGCGGGCCTCAAAAAAAGGCAGTGTATAACCTTCCTTTTTTACCAAAAATCGACTACATCAAAATTTCTGGGGAAAACACTTTTTCTTATTAATTTTGGTGCGTAGAATCCAAAAAGATTCGTACTTTTTCGATTACTTAGACGTCTCCAGATTACCTACCTATATTTATTAATTGAGAAAGCTTTGCCAAACACCAAATACCTACATGCAAAGTGTTTTTATCTGCACATCTCCCTAAGTGAAGATATTAAAATAATAAACGAGGGAGGAGGTAATTTAAGATAATTAAATTAAATAACAAATTCCCACGTGAAAATTTGTCTATTCCGGAGATTCGCCACACTTCCTTTTACAAACATTAGCTTTCACCATTGAATAATCAGATTTATTATTCAAAGCTCTCACAAACAACTTGGATTTTACTCTCATCAAAAATGTCCAATACGACTTTAATATTTATTTTTCCGACATGCGTTTCATAAACTGGGAGATCTTTGTGAGCCACGTTCCTAAACGTTTCAAAATTTACTTGCATTTTTTCAATTATTTTTTCTTAAAACAGAATGGGTTTAACCAATTGTTTCAATAAGCCCATCCTAATTTTGAAAAAAAATGTTAACAAAACTCCTATTTCCGTATCCTAGGATGACGCTGCATTCTTATCCGGGGGATCTTTGAATATAAAAATAACATAAAAATGACCAATTCAGACTATATCGTGGTTCTAAGAAGATTTACTCTGTAGGCGTATGACATACCGTCTTTTTTGCAACAATTTTCTACCATTGTTTAAATTAAAAATTCAAACCTTTTGATGCTCCCCGACCCCGTGCGATTATATTATGGCACAAATTCTAATAAACTTCTTCTAAGAAGATTCCAAGACGTTCCTACAGTCCTAAGAAGATTCTCCGAAAACTTCAAATCCTAAGAGTTTTCGAAAATTCTAAGAATTTCGGTTCTTATTAATAAGGGGAGCCCTACCAGGTAGCACTTAGGCACACCAAAAGCCCACCCTACCCCCTTTTCCTTCGTAACTAGGATCAGAGCCCGCCGGGAAAGTGTGTTTTTAGGAGATACGTGGGAGCCTCACCCGCGGTAGACGTATATCTGCCGAATGGAAGCTTCAGTGTCCTCACTTTTTGCCCTGGGCTTTTCAAAAGCATCTTACGAAGTTCTTGAACTTCAGGTTACCACAGAAGGTCCTCAATGATCCTCATTTAGACCATCCTATGCGAGAGTTGGCATTTTTACCCTTATGTGATACATAGTTGGGATTTTATAGGCTAAGAAATCATTGTACAGACAGACAGACAACTCAGTCAGCTCCCTGGTAGGTGGAGCCTCTTCCGAGTCGTACGGGGACCAGACCACCAAGTGCCTGGTCCGTCCTCTGCCATATTTCTGCTGAAGTCTTATAGCTACGACAACCCTGAAACAGAAATCAGCCATTTTATATTCCTCAATAAAGAAAGTCCTCCACCGGGTCTAGACCCCTTACGCGTTTCCTGTTCCCTTTACAGCACGTTGGTAATTCCGACGCCTCTACAGGAGGTTGATAACGAGGGACTGGGTTCCGCGGCTCTCGTGGGGCCCCTTCCCTTACATGGTGCAGCCGGAGCCCGATAGGATGTCCCATCGCATCGACACCATCAAGATGGTGGCTTTGTCATCCGGGAGGCCGTATAACACAGGCATCACCGTGGTTCCATTCCCTTAGGACGCGCCATCCTGGGGCCTAATAAGAGGAACGGTGACCTCCAACGCCATTACACCCTGCGGAACCCTGCCAGACGAGAGAAGTCCCTGAGCCAGATTCTGGAGTGCTTCCTTCCTATTTAAAGGGGAAAATTGGTTAATGTTGCATTAAATAATAATTAAATAATATATGAGGAGTGTAGCAATTTGAAATAGTGTATAGGGTAGGTAGTAGATAGTTATGGTAGTTCAGGTTAGAGCTGTATGATATTTTGCATAGATTTAGGCAAAGTTAGCACTAGGTTTAACAATTTAATTATCATATTTTCGTATTTTTCGACCTAGAGAGAGAGAGAGAGATTGGGTTAGCTTTTGGTGCGGCTAGGCAGATAGAGAATTATAGTTATTGGAATTCACTGTTTATCAGGATTTAACTCCTAGCTCCCGTATTTGATACTGGTTGGCTGATCGAATTGATTGCGTGCGTGCAATACCGGCTATATTCAAATTAAAAAATGTTTTTTCTTCAATTTTAAACTTTACATTGCAGACTATCGATTGGTGCGGTTATTTCATCAGTATACTCGGCCAAATCCACTGTTTTCAATGTTTTTATTGTGTAATCTAGAAGTAAAATAAATAACGTTGAAGTAATGTGTCTGTGATGACAGAGCTGGGCAGAATACTTTCAAAAAGTATTTGAATACTAAATACTTTTACGTCCAGCACAAGCGAATACTAGATACAGATACATTGAAAAGTATTCAAATAAAATAAGTATTCAAATACTTGTATGTATTCGAATACTTTCAAAAGTATTCTAATACTATCAAAGGTATTCGAATACTATAAAAGTATTCAAATACTTGTCACTCAAATACATTAAAAATTTAAATAGTATACTAATACTACTTAAAAAATCAAGTTATACTTTGTATGGGGTTACCTTTTTTTATATTTCTATTGTTATATACAAATTTAAGGGGAGTAAAAGCGTATTATTATTATTATATTATTATATAGGAGGTACCTACCAGGACCTTTCTTATACCAGTTATACCCTTAAGAATACGTGTACCAGTTTTCAAAGCGATCGTACGTCGTGCACATGATACGTACGCCTTTCTGAAATTAATCCTAGCATTCCTAGCGATTTTGGAACAGATCCATTTTTGACCATCCGTTTGTCCGTATGCATGATAACTTGTTTAGAAACGTGCGATCGCTTTGAAAATTGGTACACATGGTTTTAAGGATATAAGAAAGGTCCCTATTGTTTTTAAGTTACGTAGACTATCGAGTACGGTATTCAGATGTATCGGATTTTTATATTTGATTTTGTGACAATGGAAACTTTCCCTAAACATTTCTAAATTGTTCTCAAATATTTGAATAACTTAAAAGTACTGCCTTTTTTTGAGGCCTGAAAAAAATTGTCCATAATTTCAAACAGTTTGAAGATTGGGCTACTAGTTCAAAAGTTACAGCCTTTTGAATTTTCTTTCGAAATTGGTT